GGGGGGGGGGGGGGGGGGGGGGGGGGGGGGGGGGGGGGGGGGGGGGGGGAGAATATAATGTGATGTGATATTGATGGAGAGAAAGATAAGGGAATGATAAGGGAATGAATGAATCCGGTCTTGCACTAATCATTAAGCTTTTAGATATATAACGAGGTCATTCATAGTGGATAACAACAGTCAGACACAGGAGCTAGGTATACGGTACACAGGTATCATATTACATTCAGCGAGAACCAACGAGCTACTACTACTTACTACTGTACAAATCAAATCAAATCACCTAAACGGCGAGCCTTTCCCCGGCGTCCAGCCAAGCGATCCTCCCATGCCCGGCGACAATCCGACAGGTCTTCTCACAGGCGTCGTAGGTCCCGAGACCGACGCGTCGGCCGGGACCGGGGCCGGGGAATCGCCTGGTATGGTGGGTGTCTCGGTCCGCTGGATCAGATAACCATCCTTCTTCGCCGCCGGGGGTTTGTAGTTCATCTCCCGACCCGTCCTGTAGATATCGTGCAGGATCGTCTCCAAGATGCCCGCGTCCTGGAACTCGAGATACTTCTTGTATAGCTTTAACGCCGTGCGTGCATCCTCGATACTGTCGTGGGTTTCGAGCTGGATGTCTTCCTTGAGGAGGTACCAGGCCAAGAATGCGAGAGACAGCTTACGGAGCCGGGCTTTGACGAAAAAGAAATCGATCGTGTCGATGACTTGCGCTTTGGGGACGTGGATATTTGTTACACGGAAGTCTTGTTTGAGGCCATGGCCGAGGAATTTACAGCCGAGATTTAGGAGGATCCACAGCTTCTTGTATGCGACTTTGAGTGAAACCAGATTGTGTTTGGAGTATCGGGGATCGAGATCTCCTTGGACAATTCCGGAGTATGAAGTGAGGTAGTCGACGACAGGCTCCTTGCTTGCGATGTAATCATCGATGAAGGGGAGGCCTTCGTCTTCACCGGACCCTCTGACCACGGAAACACGGGCGAGTGCATAGACTATTGGTCTGATAGTCTCACGTTCTCCGTCTGAATTCATTTCAATCTCAGGCTGGCGAACGGCAACGAATTCGGTATCTAGAGCAATAATTGTTCCTTCTCCCGGGGCTTCTTCTGGTCTCAGAGGACGATATGTTTTCTCTCCCACATTGGTGCTTATAAACGATCAGTATCATACATAGCTTCTTGGCTGAGATGGAGCTTACTTATGATCCATGTAGAGCAGGGAAGTATCCAGATTCTGCTTCCATGAATTATCAATTCGGTTGTTCGCAACCTTAACTTGATATGCGATCACAGAAGGTAACTTCCAAGAAGTATTGAATGTCAGAGCTTCTTCAGGCTTGACTGGCCGGACTAAAAAGTCATTGAATAGATGCCATTGGCTTTCTGCCGGTGCCGTTGGCCGGGACTGCGCAACTATAATAGGTAAGTAAGTATAAATATGCTTCGGGTTAGAGAGCATTTACCATTAACTAGGGATACCAGGTGAGACTTCTGATTTTGTCCACTTTCAATGTTCGCTGCAACTCCAATCAGGGAGTAAACGGTTATATTGTGAATGCCCCTCTGTAGATGAAGCTTCAAGTCATCTCCCTGGTAGCAGTAGAACTGCCCTTGGTCAATGATCACACCAATTTCTTCTGGCAGCCAGCCAGGAATGGACCAGAACTGCTTAGCCTCTGGGCTATTGATAGCTGCATTGAGCATAAGAACGGCTGGGGCGCTGTGGATGGTCTTTCTAGTTGCGAGAGATTGATATCGCTGGCATCTGCTGCACCAACCTCGACTTGTGGTCTCACGTTCGACGCTCGACTTGAGAATTTGGGAGAACGATTGTTTAGGGGCGCGAGGATTCCGTACCATTAATTTCTAATCGGGTCAGCTTCGTGTACGCAAACCTCATGGATAAGTAACGTACCGGCACGGGGTAAAGAAGATCATGGACAAATGTCGTTCCAGGTCGGGTATGTTCACTTCGACAATTCATGCATCGAATAGCCGTAGTGGCAGAAGTGGCCAAAACCTTATACTGTCAGCAAAGGAGAAAACAGATGTCTTCGTAAGGAGACTTGCCTGGTCAAAAGCAGCTGAATGAGGTGGGACGCTCCTATAATCTTGAGCAATTCTATCTAGCAAGAAGCGGGTCAGGCCCTGAAGCATGTTTGTAAGTGATGAGCCCGGCGCGTCTTCCTCAAGCAAGCCGAGTGGCCCAGCTAGTTCCCAATTAGCGTAGTTCAATACTAAATTCGTACCTAACTCACCTTGCGGGTGGTTGCTGAATGTTTTCAGTAAATTCGTAGCCTGGCAAATAGATCCTTCGGCCTTGTCAAGCATATCAAAGAGAAATCCCATCTCGCATAACAGACACATGTCATTTATACATCCGGTAGCAGTATGCTGCAATGCCAGATTTCGGATCAGAGGAGTGAAGTGCATTACTTGTAATAGCGGATTGGCGTAGGAATTTGTTATATGAATCTCCAATCCAGAATAGGACGTTTGGTTATAAAAGCTATCAGACGTCAGTTCTCAAGGAACGCATATAATAGAACGTGTATACTGACCCGAAGTCGAAATCGTCCACTCCAAACTTGCTGTATTTTATCTCGACGTTCCGATACATCACGGGAACCTCTGCCTTCAAGCTTGAAAGCTCGGTGGCTCCAATAGCATCAACAACGTCGTTGATTCTCTTTTCCATGGAAGCATCGTTGGCGGCCTCCCTCGCTTTCTCACTCAGAAATTTCGGTGCCTGGATACTCGTAGATGCCTTCTCCGCCGTTCTTGTATTCTCGACCTGATTTCTCTTCATGTTTCTCGTATTTCTGCCATACCCACCCCATTCAGTAGCTTTCAGAGTTGACAGAAACTGTGGGTCGATCTTCGGTGGTGGAGCTCCCACTTCAAATATCATATGGCTTGGCCACGCGGAGAGGAGTTGCTCACGGTAGTATGGCATTCCAACACTACTCAGAGGGCTGCTTCAATGTCAGCGATGATCCGGGTTTCATGAGAGCAAACTTACGTGTCCACACTCCAATCCATCGTTGTGGGGTCGTCGTCGGGGTCAGCAAATTCAACTGGGTTACTCAACTCTGCAAAGCGTATCCGAGAGGGAGATCCCCAAAGATGGACGTTGCACTCAGCATCAGCTAGTGCGAGTGCCTCTCCCGATGGTGCAATTTCGAACATGTTCAGATAACTCAAAACGTTCGCTTGTCTAACGTTGCTAGTATTTACGTTCATCAGATCAACAATATGCATCTGACCGAGCTGAGATATGACGATGCTGGTAGTTGACATTCGCGGGTGCATGCGTACATATGCTGCGCCAGCGGGGAAGGGTATCGGAGGCAACGATATCATATTCTTCAAGTCGAATACATTGACAAGAGGATCGAGCATATATGATTGCCCTTGGCGGAGGGAGTAGCCGCAGGTGACAATGAAGTCATGTTGTGCATCCATGTCATTGATCAACGAAGAGTGGGCATTCCAGGTTTTTATAACGTTGAAGGTAATAGAGTCCAAGATATTGACGGCGCCATTCTTGGTTGCAGCACAGATATGTCTGCTTCTTTTCATTATCGTGTAGTGTTCCTTGGTAGGTATCTGCGAGTTCAGTAAGAAAATGAAACTCCTTCGTGGCAGAGGATCTGTACCTGTTTTGTGACCGTTCCCTTGTCTACATCAATCGTAAACATCTGGTCTTGCATCCCGGCAACAAGTATTTCAGAGGTTCCTCTAGATGTGTAACTCATGCAACGAAGGTCTTTCATTTCATCGTGACTAAAAGAGCGAAATCAGTCCTGTCCTGCCGGTATGAGATCTAGGTGGCGTACGTGATGTGCCATATTGGGGGCCCCCGTCGCATCGCCATATGTATACTCTTAGACCCGAGGGCAATAACGCCTTTATCATGGAAGAGTATCTGGCGAACAGGTCCCTCTCCGGCTTTGAAAGACGTGTATCGCTGAAGTTCAGTCCCGTAGAAGCTTGAAACGCGTCCATATTCGTTCCCGATCCAGAGGAGTTCCTGGTTGGTATCGAAAGCAAATGTTGCTACTGGAGTTGGCACAGCGTGTGCCCCAGGAGGAGGCAGAGGAAGTCTGTTGACCTATGGGGACGAGATATCAGCATCCATGCCCTCAGACGTGATGAGGCTGCCCCGCGTAGTGTATGGCTGATCTCGCGGTTGTTTGGCAGAGTTCCAAGCTTGGAATCAAGGAATAGTGGCAAAGACTTACTTCCTCCCAATCACCATCCATCGAGTCGGATTGAGCGTGCTCTACACCATGCTCTGTCTGTCCATTCTCTATTTCCGGCTTTCTACACGACACTGACGTTTGTTTCTGCCACTTTCAATAGTCTCTAATGAGGTTAGCGTTTCGCTTACAGGCGGTGAAATTATTTCGGGTCTGGAGACGCGGGGATTCACATGGGGGCGGAAGAGGGACCACCTCTCTACTTGCTCATTCAAAAAGACGTTTGAAAATATATATCGTAACAAGTCAGACTCAAAGTGGATAAACACCACTCTTGAGCTCTAGTACCTGTACTTTACACAAGGTTTTCAATCTCTCAATTCGTCGCATAGATGGCTTAGCTCTATACTCTATGATTTATGTTACTCGCATGAGAACAATATCCCAGCAGGGAAACAGACAGAAGGAATATCGCTGATACAGAATGCAATTGATACCCGAATAAATACGGAAGCTAATAGGTTTTCGCAACTTTTCCTCCCGGGTTGCAGTCGGCATCGGATAGTCTTTAGGGTATGTATGTTCCGAATCTTGTTCAAAAGTACCTAGCATCACTAGGTGGAGCAAGCAAGTTCATGCATGTACATTTTATATAACGATAAATCTGGGCTCAATGATAGAGTTAGTCGGGCTCCTCTCAGAGTGCATCTCTGGTCCCGTCTTCGACCAATTTGCAGATACCTAGATCGCAGCTCCTTCCCACCACCGCAAATCCAACCAAAGAGAAAAGATCCATATCCATAAACTAAAGTAGTATTGGTATCATATATATACGTACACCGACCCCTGCCGCGCTCGCACTGTGGTATCTTCTATCCTGCGAGCATTACAACCCATCAAAAGAGTTATTCTTCCAACACCATGCCATGAAATCTGCAAACATCCTTCCTGCTGGATTGATAAAAAACATTATAGAGAAGTGATAGGAGAAGCAGAAGAAGAAAAGGGGAACCCCCTTTGTCGTAGCACAATGTACACATGATATTATCTCGCCAAAGGATCCGTGTCTATCTCATCCGATCCATGCCCCCATGCTACCGTTAATCCCAAACATGCTTGGATCTAGTCCTCTCTCGTGAACCTCATGACTGACATTCTTCATGAGCCGCTACTGATGATGACTCTGGCGCCCTCCTTGCCTAGAATCCCACGCTCTTGTGGTTTTGGGCTATGACCCCTTCCTTTCTTCCTGTTCAAGAATCCCAGCATCCCGGTAGGTTTCGCAGTAGCCGCGATCAACTTAGCATCGGCTGGGAGAGTAGCATCTTGTTTGGCCAAATCGGACCAGCTGCCCTCTGCACCCAGCACGACTGATACACCACCCGCCACAGATTCTTTCCGTGAGGTCCCAGCTGGCGTTGGGCGGTTGTATGGCTGATGATAAGGCGGAAGTGGATTCTGGACTTTGGAGAGCTGGCGAGGTCTACGGGTCTCTGTTGACTGGGGGCTCGAGGTTGGTGATTGAGATGTGGGTTGCCCATTTGGAAGTGGCGGGGTGTCTGTTGGCAATCGTGGGGAGCCAGTTGGAGTCGAAGGCTGAGACTTAGTGCTCCTTCTCCGCCTAGAGTGTGATCTTGAACTCACAGTCCTGGTTAAAGTCTCTTCGGTAGAAGTGGTGGGGTGGATTGGTGGAGGTTGTGTCCAATCCGCGGGGTTACCCGAAGTACCTGGACCTGAAGCCTCGGAATATCTTTGCAGCCTGGTTAGTGTAAGGATGTGGAAGAGGGGGAAGGGAGTTGAACCTATCGTACGCTGCAGTTGTGTAATCGAATGGCAGGAACAATGTCTCGATCATCTTATATAACTCATCCTCCCGTACCTCTTTCTCTGTTGCGTCCTCCTTGAGTGCCTCTCTTGGTTTTTGTCTCCGTGCCCGAGCTTCCAGAGGCGCTTCCTCCAAAAGCAACTCCTCGAGATCATAGGTTGCGTCGAAATTTGTCTTTTCACTCGATGGCACAAATACTGGCTCGATCTCCTTTCTCTCCAATGCCTCAAAGTCTATCGATCTGAAGAAAGGGTTATCTGAGAAGCTCTCGAAGTTCACCGCTCCCATTCGCTTCTCTACATCCTCCTCAAGCGCCGAGCTGATTGCATGCAGACAAGGCATCGAGACCGGTGGTGAGGTGACGGGAAATTTTGGGGCGGCTTGGGTGATTTGTAGGGATAACATGGACTGCGTGCTTCCCTCGAATGGACGCTGGATTATGATTAGTTTAAAGCGGGAAAGGCAGGATTCCTGAAACCATACCTTACTGTAGATGCATTCATAGAATAAAACGCCTAAAGACCACCAATCCGCCCCCGATGAATACCCCTTTCCCTTGTAGACTTCTGGGGCAAGATAGGCAAGAGTCCCAGACTTGCTCGTTAGCAGTTTTCCGGGAGTGAAATCAGACGCAACATTCTAGCCCAAGTCAGCAGAGGTTCCCTAGCAATTGAACAAGATACACCCACAAAATCCGCCAAATGGATATGGCCCTCGGAATCCAACAAAACGTTATCAGGCTTAACGTCCCGATGTATAATCCCCTGCTTGTGTATGTATCTCAGGGCACAACCCAGCTCCGCAATCCAGAATCGAATCGCCTCTTCGGTAAAGGTCTTTCTCGAGATGTGAAATCGTAAATCGCCGCCGTTCATCAAATCCACCACGAGGTACCTGCATATGCATCCTCAGTAGATGCCTCGGTTAGGCGGGCGGTTCGGACTCACATATATTCGATATCCTGGAAGCTGTATCGTAGATTGCAAATGAATGGGTGATTTAAATGCTGCAGCATTCTTCTCTCCCGTATTATGTTCCGCACACTCTCAGATCGAACAACTATTTTGGCGGGTGTCAGCAGAAGCTATGGAGCGAAGGGAGAGAGGGGCTAACCTTCATCTTTGCGGATATACTTCAGTGCGAAGGTTAACCCGGTATCCTTCCTCTCAACAATCCGAACCTTCCCAAAGGCACCCTTTCCCACAACTCGCAAGAGTCGAAAATGATTGAGGTTCACTATGGGGAAGCCCGATCGTTAGTCTCTCGCTTTGGATTGGTTTCAATTAGAGCGCACAATGCCAATGGCCGCGGGCTGCAGCGCCGGCCTTGCACCCGCATCTTTTAGAGGGGTTCTTTCAGATACATACCTTCACCTGAGAAGTTCACCGGTTTGCCTTGACCGTTCCCCATTGGCGCGACGAGACTGAGGAAACTGTGGCAGATATCTTCCGCCCACAGGCATAGTAGGATGCAGAACAACCGATCATACACCAGCCACCACAATCAGTAACAGAGGAAAGGCGTCTCGGAGATGTGGTGGGGACTCGAATTGGATCTCGAATATCGAGGTTGCTTGGGGAGGAGTGCTCAATCGAGGAGGGAAGCGCGAGTCGGAAGCGAAGAGTCGGAGGTGAGGGAGAATATTTTCTGCCTTTTGTCCTGGAGGAATCGAGTGGGGTCTGAGGAGGTCGGACGGTTGAAACGGGTATCAAAGGGAGAAATGTTTCTCAATGGAAGAAAGAGTGTCTCTCAACCACACCAGGGGCTGGTGGCCTTGCAGACGTCGTGACAAGCTGCGGGGACGCTTCTTTGACGTCCTTGTAGCCAGGACCAATCCGCTTCCTGCTCGTAGCTAGAGATGAGCAAGAAGTACCAGCGGATAGTAGGGAGGTCGTGGGAGGTGTAGTGGTGGTGATGGAGGCAGCGGCGGTAATAGTAGCAGTGAGTGTGAGAGTAGTACTAGCAGGAGGGCCCTTACTCCGTACACGAGCCACTACTCATGCTCTTGCAGGTGATTAGCAGACGGGGGGTATCGGGCAGAGAGAGGAGCCAGGAGCCAGGACTCAGGAGTCAAAAGGACAGGAGGAAGTGGGCCCTGTCGATAACAGCTACTAGAGCTGGGTGTTTTAATACTGAACGAGTTTGGCTACGGTACGGAGGACTTACTACTGTAGTCTACGGACCTGAACATAGTACATACACCAGCGTCCACAGTCCACAGTCTACGGAGCAGTCAGCGAGGAGGATTGAGGCGTTCACGCGGGAGGTGGAGGTCCAGGGTCTTGACTCCAGGATTCCAAGGGTGATGCGGTCACAATTATACTTCGTAAGGTAATAATCCGTGGTGTTAATGTACTGCGTACGCTGACCACTACTACCACTACTACTGCTCTGTGCGGAATGCCGTTCTAGGGCGCGGTTCCCACATGGGCGCGCACATGGCAAAGGCCCCACGTCTCACAACCCTGGGCGGCCGAGTCCAGCGTAGTGGCAGTGTCCATCGTGGCTTCAGAGCCTAGAAACAGTATAGAATGGTTCAGGGGGCGGGTGGAAGGGCTAAGAGAGAAGCCCTTCAGCGAATAGCGTGGGCGGTTGTCAAAAGCCCTTTTATCAGTCTTCTAGAATCAGACGTATCATAAGGTACTTGTATATCTGGCCATGAGTTGTCGATGTTAATGGTGATAATGATGATGCAGTGGAGGGTATTATTTATGATGAAAAAATCTGTTATTACCGTTCTCATTATCCTTACCATTATCTCCCTTATTATTGTCGAGGTACCTGGCTACCGATGTACCTATACCATCGGCCTATGTACCTATGGAGTAAGGTACATACGTCCTTACATCATGTACCTACTAATCTATGTACCTCATCTGTACGAATACCTCCGTATGTACCTAGTAGTAAGTTGCAACCAGGACACAACAGGGCCGAAGAAGCTCGCTCTGACCGTCTATCACTACTAACGAAGAATTGTCCGCAGATAAAGCTACGGCTCCTCATTCGATCCCGTGGACACGCATGCTTTTGGAGTTTGGATCTCTGGTTCTTCTGCTCAGCCGCAGATGCTTCCTCACGGCGCAGACCGCTCGACGCTGCACGAGATGCGCCGCCCGAGCTCCCCCTAGCTGTTTGCTGCTTCTGCTGCTGCTTCTTCTCTTCCAAGTTCCCACCCCCCGATTGTGCCATGCCGATGCTCCTCAAGCTCTCTCCTTCTGTCCGGGCCCCGCGGGCAGTGAGACCAGCAGCAAGATGGTCCCCTCGGATCAACTACTCAGACCCATGGCCATCCCATCTCTCTGTTGCATCGATCGACGGTGCTCCGCTGCCTATCCTAGAGATCCCAGAAAACCCTTGTTGGCGTTTCACTCTCCCCGCTACGTAGGTACCCGTAACCCGTGGTCCAGTAGTAGGACGGCAGTCCCTCCCTGGTTCAAACAAACGTCAGAGACCCAGATGCTCCGGCACAGCGACGGGGGTGGCCGTAAGTAAGACCGTCAGACGGCGAGACCATATCTGTGGAAACCCTATTTGGAATGGCTGTGTAGATGAGCACGAGATTTAGACGGTTCAGTCCTCCGTGCTCTGTACGTATTGTGTCGGATGCCATGATCCATCGCTATTAACACCACGAGCTGACCACGTTGGCGGCACGTACCTAAGGTATCTGGTGGAGTTCCACGTTACACCAAGACTTCAGTATATACGGAGAAATTCGGTCCCTCACGGCTCTCACCGCCAAAATGTGGGATGACTGAATCGTGGGCATGCCGTATCCGAATCAGGCCCGCCCAATGGCAGGGCAAGGAATATCATACTACAGCGAAGAGAGTAGGGCGCAATATGCAAGCCATCCGGAAGTTTAAGACAAGGAGTAAGTCAAGGACGAAGAATGATGCCAAGTTTCTACATCCTTTCTCCCTGAAACCCAGGGCACGCCTGCAACCTTCTAGAAAGCTCCCAGAAGGAACCCAAAAAAAAGAAAAGGAGGGGAAAAGGGGAATATGAAATTAAACAATAAAGTATAAATGGAACAGGGAACATAGTATTGCGAGCTACCCTAGGTATCTTACTTTACCTTGAGATAGGTACCTTAAGAGGTCGAAAAATCGGAATCATCTAATCACCAAGATCTACTCGCATCTCTAGACGCATCATTCAGACTGTACACGATGTAGTCGAAAATCAGTATGAGTCTATCCCACTCGACACAAACCAAACTCTACCTATCTGAAGAACAGAAATACTTCTCCACAACAAGAAATAAATGCTCAAGACAACCCCGGTGTCGAGGAGATATGCGTTGTCAAATGCACGCCCCCCTTTTAACGTCAACTACCTAGGTACCTACGTACCCAACATATGTACTCACCTCGCATTATATAACCAGTCGTTGAATTCAAAAAAAGGGTCTTGAGACTGAAAGCCCCGTAGGATTTCCATTCGTTCCCCATAATCCATCTGCCCACCCCCTTTTCTCCTATTTTCTTTTTCTCCTTTTTCCCTCTCTCCCTGTTCCCCACATTCAGGAATATGCCGCCGTTTGCCCTTCTCCACATCTCCTATATCCAATCTACTACCTCTTTCTCTCTTCATCTCTCCTATTTTTTAAGCGTACCACTAGAAGAGCCATGCTTCTTCAGTTCGCGTACCATGCCTGTCTCTTCCCCTGCCGGAGATCTTGGTTTGCCTACCTTACCTTGAGACTGTAGAAATTTTGGGGATGTGCTCGATTGAATGGGGGCTGTGAGCTCGTCCTTTTACATCGTATATACATAGGTATATATATAGTGGTTGTGTGTTGTACTTACGTATCTGTATACGGAGTATACAGAGGAGTTAATAGACGTATCACACATGGGCAATATTCGAGAAGATGCAGGAGGTAACAGCCCCTGATCGTCTACATAGTACATACCTACCTGCCATGTACATAGTGCATTGGCAAGTGCTGCCCTTGTGGGGATGGGGACGCATGCCTAGATACCTAGGCCTTGTCTGCATGGCACCCAAAACCTGGGAGCCTACTCCGTAAGTACACGAGACTCATATTTTCTTTTTTCAGTCTCTTCCCCAGGAGCCGGGAGATCGTCTTCAGGGGGGCTGGTGCTCACGCATACACAAGACAAGGGAAGCAGCGTACGCGCAACAAAGTCGTCTGCAAGTAAATCCTATCTCTTACGTAGAAGTTGTATACATATCTACAATAAAAGATTCATTAAACAACCCAATCCCGGGGTTCGTCACTCTGCCGGGTATTGGATTCCGCCCACGGCTGACGGAGGCGGAAGAGACGGAAGAAACAAAGACGCCCGTGTAAATGCTGTCCAAAAGATGCACGCTCCTGCTCCTGAATGCATGCAAGCTAGGCTTAAATGCGTCGACAAAGCTAGCTAGGTATAGTCGCAAAGCAAGAAGAAAGAAGGGGAAATTAACAAGGTGATAATGGTTTTGTACAACAGTAACTCCTGTTCCCGGACTCCTAAAATGCTAGAGATTGCTGACGATAGTCCAGCAAAAGGGTCCCGCAGTATCTGCTATGGTACGGCGGGAATGCAGGGCTGTAATAGCATGGATCATTAGACGTAAAACCAAGAGGCGACCATTCAATAACCTTCCTGGGCTTCGCGAAGAGGACGAGCTAGTTGGTTTAAAAGTGCATCAAGCTCCCGCCAATTTTCTGGCTTTTCGGCGAACTTTCGATGTTTTCGAGATAAAATGTGCTAGATAATGGTCAGAAAGGATCTTTGAATGCAAGGGGACTCATACCTCATCAAAATCTTCGAACTTATCCTGACAATTCTCGCAATAACCAGGCTTGGGATCCCGTTTCTCAAGCTTCCTCTGCTGGACAGCCCTAGCCTTGCGGGTATTTTCGGCCTTTCTAGCATTCTCCTCGCGTTCGGATGGATCTTCCTCGATCAAATCAAGCCTCTCTTTCCGCTTATCTGGCCGAGCAGCCAGTTCTTCTCTCGCAGCAGTACTGATGTCAGTCATGCGGTGAGAGCTGGCAAGCCCGCCATAGGAAGCAGGGCCGCCGCTATTCTTCTCCAGGACCTTCCGCTGCAGGCCGTGAACCTCCTTGCTGGTCCCTGCTTTTGCCCCTGGTTGGGCTGCTGTTGAGGATATCATCTGTGAACGAATAGCTGAGGTGACATTTGATTGCTGGAGCCCCGAAGCAACTGGTTCTCCGCCAAAAAGACGGCCTGCAGCAGCACGACTAACAAATGCGTTTTGTGTACCTCTGGATGAGGGCTCGGCAGAAAACGGATTTCTTGCCGTATCGAATGGATTGGATTGCTTGCTCAAGACGGTAACAGTTCGATTAGAGCCATCGTCCACTTCAGCCAAGGCTCTTTTGGTGCCAGCAATTTTTGGTGGTTGCATCGCGGCTGCTTCGATTGCGGCTGCGGCTCGCGTCCTTGGGACCATAGACCTCTCTTTCTCTTGTTGCCTTTGAAGTCGGAGTCTCTCCCTCTCTTTCTCTGCCTCTCGTCTGCTGTAATCCACTTCCTCAACGAATGGGCATTTACCATTGGCAACACTACGGAACTGTGGCCAATCGCCATCTTCTTTGTGTGCCACCTTAGCATACTCTCGGACCATGATAGGTCGTTGCTTCTCATCGATATCATGAATGTATATGAAAGGGCCTTTGAAAATGTTCAATTCCTTCGTGGCTACTGTTGGATCTCGATCCGAAGGCCCATTTAATCGCTCGTTTCTAAGCAGCTGAGACAGGTCCGCCTCACGGCTTGTCCGAGGTATCGCCGCGATTCCTACCGAATTGCTTCGTGTGTTGTGTCCGTGGGTTGCTTGGTAACCAGTATCCGTGTCAAACATAGTGTTCATCATTCGTTGCAACTTCTCGAGTGCCCATATCTTCATGCCCAATTCTCTTGCACGGTACAACACATCTGCATTACGGCCTCGTTGCCTTTTGATCTCTCCATCATGACCTTGCGGTGCAAGTCTTCTGTTCAATGGGACTTCAAACGTAAATTTTCCTTTCGCAGCAAGCAAGTCGGATTGGGCATTTGCAACCTCAGACGTTCGGTCGAGCAAGGAAGGGTTGATAGTCTGAGGTTGACCATTTTGCAGTTCGGAATCATTGGTATTCGAGGGAGGGACAGAATTAGGGTCATGTTCCGGTGGTATCGCTCGTGTCGTTACCACATGGGTCACCGCGTTCGAAAAGAATTTTTCCTCTCGCTGGAGCAGAATTAGTACCAGAAGGACCAACTGGGTAGTTCGATTACTTACAGCACCTAGAGCAATGACTTGCCTTGTACACTTGAGACGAGCCTCCTCAGAAACACTCTCAAAGTAGAAGACGAATTTTGGAAAGATCCGTTTGATGTGTTTCTGCCATTGTCTGATCGATTCTAAACCCTCATCTGATACCTTATCCACCTTTGTAACCGCCGCCGGTTGGCTGGGCTTCTGGCTTGCTGCCACGCATTTCCGTTCGAATGCTGTTGGCTGGGTGGCATTTGATTTTCGAGTAAATAGTCTACCTTCAGCTGAAGGCTGCGTCGGTTGCTGGCGTGGAGGAGTTCTCAACTGAGACTCCAACATCTGCTTCTTGGCCGGTGGCTGGCCCCCGTATGAATCTTCGCGTTGAACTGTTGCATGGGAGCGTTTTGGCTTCGAAGCAGCAGCAGTAGCGGTTAATGCTCGGTAAGGCGAGTTGACGGCGTTGGGATTGCTCGACAGAGGCACTCTTCTTGTAGACATGGTGGACAGAGTGTGAGGCAAGGGTGATAGTGATACTGCTGCCATAAGAAAGCACTCCGAGTACTGTCAAATACTCTGGCAGCTGGAACTTGGGGGAAGGAGTGGGGTGCAGCACGCGACTGGAACACGGTCGAACAGGTGAACACGAGCGTTATAGAGACATTGGGACAGATGGCTGGCTGCTCAGTGTGACCGTACAACAAGAGCCGCGAGCACAAGTCAAGGAGCGTGGTGGGGATAATGCTGGGAGACCTTCAAAATCAAAGCTCGAGATGATGTTTGGTATCAACAAACCTCTCGAGAGTCTGAGGAGATGCTCGACCCACTCTTTTTTAAACGCGCCTAGCGACCACACACAGCAACCGCTAGAGCCTTCGGTGCAACAATTTTATGCTTGCTTACCAAAAGCATTATGGATTATTTATCCATCCTGTGCATAGTATCATGACCTGATGCGTCGAGAGCCATTCGCACTCTGCAGCGAATGTAGTTCCTAATATGAAGTCGAGACGGTCAATATTACAGCAGTTGCAAAGAGCAGCTAGTTCTTCGCGACCAAGATCTTCTGCCCAGTCTCTTGCGACCAGAGCAACTCGCGCAGCAGGTCACCCAAGGAGGCCATATGCAACCGTCTCAGCTGCAGATCTACAGTTTGGTCAACCTGTCCATGAGACTCACCCACATCTTTTGCGCGCGGGAGAAAGTAGGGTTCACCTCCTTCATTCATTGCCTACCTTAGCTAACCAGATTGTTCAGTCACACCCGGCATTACTGCTCAAGAGTATGCGAACCGTCGAGCGAAGCTTGCTGCGAGTCTCCCTGATAATGGCATTGCAATATTAGCATCATCAGAGACGAAATACCGGTCCGGGGCGGTATTCTATGAGTTTCACCAGGAACCCAATTTTCTCTACCTGACGGGCTTCAAAGAACCGGAATCTGTTGCAGTTATCCAAAAAGTTGGATCCTCCTCTGAATACATCTTCCACCTATTCGTCCGGCCCAAGGATGCGAGGGCAGAACAATGGGATGGCGCAAGATCCGGCGAGCAGGCGGCGTTGGATGTGTTTAATGCGGACGAGGTTCTTCTATCAACTCGCGCCTGCTTTTCATATGCTGATATGTGGTATAGACCGGAAGTATCAATAACTTACATTCGTTGCTCGCCCCTCTTATTGCTGGGGCCAGCGAAATTTACACGAACATAACCAAAGTTTCCGGGTTTTCGTCTTTTTTCAGAAGTCAGGGCACACCACCAAACGACTTTCAAAAGATGATAAAAGACAGCAAGGTCAAACCATTGCAGCCGCTGATCAACCAGATAAGGATTATCAAGAGCGAAGCAGAAATTGCCAATATGCGGATAGCCGGAAAGATCTCTGGAAGGGCCTATACAAATGCTATGCGGCGCCAGTGGACCAAAGAAAAAGACCTAGCAGCCTTTTTGGACTACGAATTTAAAATAGGTGGTTGCGAGGCCAGTGCATACGTACCTGTTGTTGCCGGCGGGAAGAACGCGCTGAGCATCCATTATGTAAGGAATGATGATGTCCTTCAAGACGGTGAGCTCGTCTTGGTGGATGCTGGCGGCGAGTACGGAGGATATATTACAGATATCACCAGAACCTGGCCGATCACCGGGAAATTTTCAGATGCTCAAAGGGATCTCTATGAGGCCATTCTGAAAGTCCAACGGAGCAGCATTTCCTTATGCCGGGAGAGCGCCAACGTATCCCTGGATAAGATCCATCAAATTACTGAACAAGGGTTAAAGGATGCGCTGAGGCAACTGGGCTTCGACATGTCAAAAGATGCCTTGTATGCGCTCTTCCCCCATCACGTTGGCCACTACATCGGTCTGGATGTCCACGACTGCCCGGGATATCCAAGGAATGGGCCCCTCAAAGCCGGCCAGTGCGTCACTGTAGAACCTGGAATATACGTCCCTGATGATGAGCGGTGGCCGAAGCATTTCAGGGGCATCGGGATTAGAATAGAGGACAGTGTCTGTGTTCAGGATGACTCCCCTCTGATCCTGACGACGGAAGCTGTCAAAGAGATTGTAGATATCGAAGCATTACGAGAGTAATGTTAAATCATGTATTACTAGCAGTACGACCTTTGTATAGAATATGAAATGTAAATACCACTTCCCAATCTATATCTACAATAACCAACATTGTCAGTAGTTGAACCCGACTTGGTAGCAAGATTGGAGCTTTTGCCCACTCTTCACTCTTCGAGTCTAGATTAGGAATCAAGGAGCTGTTGTTCAAGGCCCAAGAAAACAAACACCCGCTCAGAAAGTAACCTGCGCCGGACCCCCAATTATTCTATCCACCTGCTTCAACGCCCTTTCGTTAAACATAAAGATGTGTCCTGCACATTTCACTCCAAGCGTTCCCAGCCATCTAGGCATTCATGCGTATCCCACTACTGCCATCCATTCTTCCTTCCATAACTTGCGCTCTCCCCCCCCCCCACAAAAGCCCCAAAAAACCACCAGCATCTATTTCTTCGCCCCCTTCACCGCGCCCTTCACTGGTTTAGGTTTTTTATAGACCTAATCCAAAATCAGTAATGAACAAACCAACCAACCCAAGAAAATATGTCTTCATAATCCTAACGTCTACGAACCTTGTTGGTCACGAAATGTATATATACAGCCAGCAAAACTAGGGAGGTGCAGCCGAGAAGCACGAGGATCAACGCTGTGAAGAGGAATGGGTCTGCTTGTAGCACGGCTGTGGCTTTGGGCGTGAAGCCGAGCCATTTGAAGGCGTTGGGGCCGGAAAATCCTTGGCCCATGGTTGATGACAGAGGCGGTGGTGGTATGGTATGGAGTGAAGTGGACGAGTGATATCTAAATAGCCGCGCGGTTGGACGAGGTCAAAAGGCGAGAGAGGGGGAAGTTCTGCAAATTGGCACGAAGGGCAAAACAGGAATGCCCGTAGCAGTAATCACGCAAAATTGCAAAAAGAAAGGAAAACAATCGAGCTCTCCAAGCGCCGGGGCTTCAAAATCATTATATTCATATTATTTTGGGATTGTGAGACTTGACGAGCGGTTGCTCTCAAAAACCGCGACGCGAGGGCGTTTCAGGAGCCCCAGTTGGGGGTCCAGACTCCAAACGTTCAAGGCTCCGCGGAACCCATGTCCTTGGGCAGAGGACTTGCACGATGCTCATTGCTCCATAATCAGACCTCTGAGCGCGAGAGTTTGAGATGTGTCGGAGGAGTGTCGGGGAGCACAACCCGTCGTTTATTGTATTTATTTGTTTTGCCCCCCCCCGTTCCCCCCCTGCAGGGAGAGTGCAGTAATAATCGTGGATTTGCTAAGTCCACGCCGACAATTTATATCGCATGTTTCGAATGCCCTTTTCTCCACAAAGTGCACTGATCGTAGGACTTTATGCGATGCATGCGAAGGGCGGCATTTGATAACTTCATATACGAGGTAACCTTCGCTGGCTGTATGCGGCTCATAGCAATTCCTCAAAAAGTCCTACTAGGAGAGACCAACTATATGTTTTGATGGCAGTACAATCAGGGCATCAATTTCAATCCTCAAGTGTCGTCTTTGCTCGATCCTCTATAGTCTTGAAAATGCCTTCCATAGCTCGATTATCGTCCCGAATCGCCCGCAGTGTGTTTTCGACTTGTGTGGACCGCTCACGGAGGCGACTGATCTCGGCTTTAAGATCTTCGATGAATCCTTGTCGCGTGTCTGAAGGCTGTGATGTCGGGCCGACAGATTGAGGCTCGTCTCCAGGTTCCGTCTTTACATCTCCTGGTAAATCGACCGAAGACGCGGGCGTGTCAGTACATCGATTTTCCGTAACTCGTGTGACATTTGTGATTTCTTCCGCAGACGTTGCGTCTCCTTTACCGTCGGCTTCGTCGTTTCTGCTTGCTCCAGAACGCAACGCCTCGATCTTTCTCTCCAAATCCTCCTTTATCCGATTCCAAGATCTTCTTTCCTCTCCTCGTAGTTCCTCCAACCGACTCGCCTTTCTGACAATCTCGACATACTGTGACCCCTCCTTTACAGCAGCTTGTCTAAACTCATCTCTGCTCCGCGACAGATCACTTATATCTCGCTCCAAATCAATGGCCTGAGTTTGGAGTCTCAGCTTTTCTTCTGTGAGAGTTATGATTTCACTGTCTGATGCAGCAAGTTTTCTCTCGAGTGCACTGACTCGAGCCTGGGACCGTGAGAAAGCTAACAGGAGCTTATCGTGTTCGCCCTGTAGCGATGAAATTGCAATCTTCTGAATTGATAGTTCGTGCTGGAGAGCGGCGGAATGCTCTCGAAGAGCCGAATCGGATGAACGAGGGGAGGCAATGGGAGGTAGGTAGCTATTGATAGTAGACTGGTTCAGACTCGATGGTGGAGGTAAGTTGACAACTTGTGAGCCATGGCGATTCAGTGAAGGAGGATTCATACTAGACGCTCTTGGGGCTTGGCTGTCCGATGAGTATCGAGCTTGATAATGGTCGGGTTGTGAGCTTATTGATTGTAACTCCTCACCAGCCGAGGAGTTAGTGGTCAAAGATCCTCGTCTTGTATGGAGCTTGGCGTCAGACGTAGGGCCATCAACTTCCACCTTCGCCTTTGTTGTATCATCAAGGCTTCCATTGAGACGGCGTTCCATGATGTTAGTGGGATAAGTTTGAAGTTTGTCGTATATGGGATAATCCTTGTCAAGACTTTGTAGAGCCTCGGCAGGAACACGTTTTACGAAGTCATCCGCCATCTGATTGACTTTATCAATACTTCCGAGAATCCAGTCCAATGTTTGTTTCAGACCAAATCGTGATATTGGAGGGCAAGGTGTAGGGCCAAGACAACATCGCTCAGGTTCCTGAATTACATTTTGTAGTCAGCAATATTCAGAAGAACTGTGGGGGGAGGAGGTATAGAATGGATGCATAGGATCAGGTTAACTCACACGATTGAGGCCTCGCTGATCAGATGGTATACCTGAACGAAGAGTTCCCGCGATCTTAGTTAATCCGGCCGCAGCTGCTTGTGTCACCCATGCTAGTTCTGGATTATTCTTGCAACTCTCACAAGACTCTGAAAGGCTCGAGATCGTCAATTCTCGATCCTGAGTTATCAGCCTCCTGCATCTCTGGCATAGATTGAACCCGTCTCGAGAAGCTGTAGGTCCGCCAGCGTCTGTCCCGCCATTTAGCGGGAAAGTAGGCGATTTAAGAGTGCCCGGATGCTTCTCGTATATAGAATCTGATTCTTGGACAGCGTGTTAGTAATGAGTCCTATCTTTTTGCACTTTGGCTAGGTGACTTGCTGTGTGTCGAAGAGGGCGCGGTTTTGCCATCAACGTCTATATTCCGTCGGGAAGAGGCATTGTAGTCATGCCCCTCAACTTTTGCCCTTTTCACCTCTGATTCTCTAGAGTCTGGTCGTCGATACGAACTTTGTGAAAGTGCCCCAGACTCGAACCCACGAGGTATTAAAGATTTCTGATATGATACAGGATCAACTGGCGGGAGTAGTGCTGAAGGTCGAGAATTTCCTGGTTCGGCTGACGTGGTCCCATCTTCATCCCAAGGACGTTTGATGCTTGATTGCCGTGATTGGGACTCATCCCGCGCTCGAGCATCCATCACCACACCTGAATGCCGGATCATATATCTCACTCACCAAGGGCGTGTCAAGAAGTCCATCCATGAGATTTGAAATCTTTCCGTCTAAGAATTGGGAGATATGAGTGTGTGTAACGGCTTCTGCAACTTGTATAGTAGTAAGTCGGTGCCACACGGAGTACACGATTGAAGGAGGTAGAATTTGGAAATGATAAGAAACGTCCGCCTCTGCTTACATACCCTCTTAGTCTGCCGGCGGCGCCGGATTGTCTTGTGATCAAGCAAGACAATAGTAGAAGGAGAGCGGCGGCCTTTGCCAGGTATACAAAGACGCATGCTAAGCACAAGAGCCGTACCTTATATGAACTATATATAAAGTGCTTGGTACTCTGGACGGCCTGCCAACTACTAGGTAAGCATCGTGCACTGAGCACTCTGCACTCCAGGCTCAATGACATCCTCATGCTGTAGGAACTACTGTACCGATGGTCCGATAGTGGCCATCTGCCCAGGCTGATTATTAACCTGGATGCCCCGTACAGTAATCTGTCAAAAGATCTCTCGGACTGTCATGCCGCTTGTCCAATTGGACGACGTACCTTTAGACTATAGTCCTATACGAATTACCTTACGGAAGAGCTTGGCTTCGGCCCGGGCTTAGTCACTGGCAGGTCTCTCAACCTGCTTACTCACAGTCGCGGCAGACTCGCAGAGTGAGTCGCAGATCCAACTACCTTACCTAGTCTCCATACCTTAGGTACCCTTACCTAACAAAGTTGTAATAAGTCAAAAGTCCCTAGAGATCCGGGTCAAGTTGCCCTATTGCGTGAGATAGCGCTGGCGGGCTAAGATGGGGGATCCCCTTTTTGCCTTTCCATTACCATAACCGCTTCTCGTTCGCTTATATAATCATTTACGACATAATCGACATTCGCTCTCGTGTAGCAGATCCAAGAGTTGGCTTGCTGTCCGGAGAACAGCATCCTATCAATACTGGCTGGAACCATGATCATTTCCACAAGAAGCTACTTTCTCCTGAGCGCGAACCTGCTTTGTTATTGGTGAATTCCTATACCGCAGTCGTGATATCAAGGATTCTCCCCATCCTAAGCCCTGGAATTCCACACGACGATCCGCTATGTGAGTAGTATCAAAGTGGCTCTGTCAATGCAGGGTTACTAGCAAAGGGTCACATGGCACGATTGGAGGCTACCTACATATCTTGTGAGATCTTAATATAGAGAGAAAGTTAAATGGGCAGATAGGTGGTTTGGATTTTGGCGCCCCTATCATAAGCACTGCCCCGGTCTTCACAGCCAGCCAATTTAATGCCACTCTTAAACGTACAAATTCCGCTCTTCATCCTTCCATCGTTCTTCAACTATATCTTCTACCCCTCTTTGGTGGAGGAGACCGTGAGTCGCTATAATCTCTTCTTCTCTTAATTGGCGGTGAAATAGACCGGCTATCCAATCGCCGACGTGGAGGTGATCTGGAATAGCTACCATCTCTGCGGCTTCTGGGTGGAGGGGTTACAGAGACGCTTTCCCTCCTGGAGATCCTCCGCGGTGGTGGGGATCTTGAAATGCTTTCTCTCCGCCTCCTTCGAGGCTCCACGCTGACCGATGAAGTGTTCCTACGGGCCGTCCGTTTTCGGGGCGGAGATCTCGAGTCACTCAGAGATCTCCCTCTTCGTTTCGAAGGAGGGGTAAGCGAGTAACTATCTCTCCGCGTAGCTCGCCTTGGCGGTGGGGATCTCGAATCGCTGTATCCACGGCGTCCCCGCCGAGGAGGTGATACCGAGATAGAGTCCCGCCTTGAAATCCGACGGGGTGGAGTAACAGATCTAGACACAGATCTGGATACAGACCTGGACACAGACCTAGACACAGACCTGGACACAGATCTGGACAGACTGCGTCCTCTCCGTCTATCTCTCCCTCTGCTAGGACGTGGTGGTGTAAGTGAAGGTGACCGTCTCCCATCAAGAGCGCGAGTTCGGGATGGGGAGCGAGACCTCGAGTATGACGATCCCGTGTATGACGAATAACTTGAGACGGAACTGCCTGACTCTGAGCCTGAATCATCATCTGCTGCAGGCGGTGCAGGCAGACTGGGTTTAGGCATATTTTGGAGGTATTCGCGCATTTCCTCTGTTAGAGCGCCCATTTTAATACTTGTGAAGTAGTTGATGGAAAATCTGATATTCCGAGGATTGTCGTGCGGGAAAATCCCTTCAAAGTATGGCCGTAGAATGTCATCTTTCAGGCGATTCTGTAGTTTTTGCATACCCATCCCTTCAGCCAGATCCTCAAATAGAATCTTTATGAATATACGGCTGCTGGAAGTCGTCTCTTCCTCATTAAGATGCACAACGGACAGTACGTGCCATCCAATTGCGTCAGAACTGAGGAGATGACCGAAAAACCGAGCAATGTTTCTGAGTCGGTTGGTCTCATACCTATGGATGGTGTCGTAATATTTGGTGAAAGCTTGTTCAAACTGATCGGTCCAAAGGCGATTGATTCGGGCAAAACGTTCGCCAATCAGGCCATAAAACTTGGAATACGTTCTTTCCTGAGAACAGCACTCAATGATCATCGATGGAAGTTCGGGTTCCTGACCGGGTGGAAGCGTGATTTTCATCAGCTTGTGGACACATTCCTCGGGGTCTATGCTGGACATAATTGTCAGATATATCGTTCGCCGAAGGTTGACGAGATCAGTGTTGGTCTGATCCTTGATCTCCAGCGCTGCCTCTTCTTTTTCCTCTTCATCTTCCTCGCTGTCATCAGTGTCATCCTCGTCATCTTCCTCGTCCCCACTTCCTTCCCCTAGGATCTCCGCTTTCACGCGCCTATATTTCTCCTCGTTCTCTTCCCACTCTGGGTCGTACTTGAAGACATTCAGACCGTCTTCCACATCAATCTCGTCGTCCAAAGCAATATTATGTGTGATCTGATCCTCTTCCTCCACGAGATCCAGCTCTTCTCTGATAGCAGGATTGTCTTTGTATTTGTCTTTGCGAACCTGGAAAAGGACTTCAATCATATATTGCACCCTCTTGTCAATATCCGCCTCGTGTAAGATGTTCCGAAATTGATCGAAGACTGCAAGAGCAATTGGGCCACTCATTTCCTCGAGATGTTGCCCAACCTCCCTTGTCAAACCAACAGCAATCTCAACGCTATCATCGGTCGGCTTGTTGAGAAGCAGCAGCAAGATTTGTGCCGCAACAACTTCATTCGCTACTTGCTGATTGCACAAATGCGCAATAAAAGTCGTTGCGGAGAGACAGACAGCCTTGTCGTTTCGTTTGAAGCCTTTCTTGAACTGCGTGATGAGGCGCTTGAGAAGGAGCTCTCCAACCTTAGGCAGTTTAGTATTGACGATAGCTGCCATAGCTGCATATATCGGAGTAAAGGGTAAACTGGCCGCCTGTGCCTTCATAATGCTTCTGCAAAATAACCCTCGACCTCTGACTAGATTCTCCCCAAACAATTCCGGGACAATATGCTTGATGTTCGAAACGTTAACCTTGTTGATAAGACCATTTATAGACTTCTTCAGCGCTTCCCATGCCATACGCTGATATTCTTTGCTGGTCTTGTCGGTGATTTGTGATTGGAGTGCTCGTAGTCGCGCAGGAGGTATATAGGTGCCTCCGGATCGCATATTCAACAGCTTTTCGTATTCAGCCTTTGCGGCTGCCTGTTTGTCCTCTTCCGTCCTCGCTGCCACTGCTGTCCCATTACTGCGAGGAGCAGATTGCCTGCTCGATGCGCCGTTTTCCTTTCGGTCGTGGTGTGGAGACCTGGGGCTTTTGGTCGAGATTTGTTCCTCCGAGTGATGCCCCAAAGGCCTGGCATTTTCAACCTCCATTGTGTCTCTACGGAGTCGATGGGACCGTTGCTCCACCAATGTTCAAGATGAGTTTCCGAATTCGAGACGGTCACTTCCTCCCGACTTGCAGTAGGTACGCCGAACGCGCCACTGCCGACTCTTCCAACACCAAGTATGAATCGCGACACTTCCCTGAAAGGTGTCGCAAATGTGCGACAGGAACTTCTGAAGAGTTCGTGGGTATGAAGTGTGCAAGGTTGTTGTTGATATGCTCAGATGAGGCCCAGGCAAGAAAGCACCTTTTAGGCAGCGCGCTAAAATAATTTACGGGGGGTGAGGTAAGGTAAGATCGCCTTTTCGCTGAACGACCAGCAATAGAATATTGAAACCGCGTCACTGCCACCACGCTGCTCAGTAATTCAGCTTTGGTCCATCACACTCATTTTCAATCCGACTTTTAACAATGGTAACGCCTCCTTGGCTTCTCTCCGGTGGGATATTGACCGTGGATTGCCCTGCTAACGCCGTACCAGCTCGACAAGCTCGTTGGTCTTAGCATGCTTATCGCTGCTTCTGTCGTCTTCCTCTACTACACAATATGGACGCTTCTCATGGTATACCCATCTCTTATTTCCTATATGCCAGCTATAGATGCTAACAAGCCGCCCTCTAGCCCTTCGTTGATGCAGACCACCCTCTTCAGAACATCTTCCCGCCACGAGTCTGGGCCATTCGAATTCCTGTCATTCTTATCCTCTTGGGATCGGCTGTCGTTGGATCTTTCCTGAGTATGGTCATGATCCGAAGCAACAGGAAAAGAGCAGCCAAGGCAAAGGCTGCTGGGAAGAAGAAGGCGTGATGTCTATCATCTGGGACCGGTTCTGGCAGGAATGGAGACGTTTGCCAAGTCGACAATCGGCATTGACACAATATACTTGTTTGCTTAAGGGCTTGGACGGATCGTGGCCATGCGAACAGCGGGGCGCAGCTATAGGATGGTGGGAATGGATCGTGGCCATAAAGGCAACACATGTACGAAGCACGAAGTAATACAACATGTCTTTCACAGCTGGGATCTGGGAGTTTGAAGCCATGCAGGCTTTTATTGTGGCCAATACACGCTCAGTTGAAAAGATAGACAGCCAGGTGGGGGTTATTATTCTTGTACGACAAGTTAACTGTACCTCTCTCTGTACCTCTCTCCGTACCTGACATTGGAGCTCCCTGTAGACCTACGATAAATATAAATACCGGGTCCCGACTTGCTAATCATGGATCCCAGCAAGCACTGCGTAGACGCGACTCGGCGATCCACCTATCAGCCTATCACGTACCTGAGACTTGAGTCAAGAACCCGCGCTAATGTTGCCGACAGGCGCTTGCATCCAGAGCAGCCCAGCTGCCCCTCATCAGCATCATCATCACACTCACCCTCCACTTGACAGCTCTTCACCCAAGAGCAACAAACTGCCACAACAAAAAGCAACAAACCAGCCTTCTAGACAGTCTATCGCCCTCGGGACGGAGCTGATACGCCCTGTACATACAGATCGCCTATACCTCGCACTTCCCGCGCCCTTTCCTGGCTTCTGGCTATTCAGGAAGCCCGCGGGAGTGTCTCACCGATCGCTATCTGTCCTATCGCCCACATTGCGACACTTCAAATCGTAGGGCATATTGTCCTGAAGTGCTTGCCAGAAAACAAACACCGGTAGAGCCAGATCGCTATTTGAATGCCCCCTTCACTAGACCAAGACAACACCAACACGTCGAACCATACCCCGCAGCTTAATAAGTCGACTCAGAAGGCCTCATCAGCTGGAGTTCAGATCCCCACGAAAAACGGGAGAAAGAATGGGACGGCGAAGGACAACGGTGATTGTGGCGTTGTGGCAGCGGTGACAAAAAATGCCTCCAAGATGTCGTAAGTAACATGTTACTCGTGGTTCTGGGCAGCTAGATAGGTATAGATACTAATGAGTCACCCGCAATAGGAATAACAGGTCATCGAACCTCCCGTGTCGGTTCCAAGGGTCAGAGGTGAAGCCAGTTGCTTCTGCCTCAAATGGAAACCCGGTGACATCTCCTTTGCTGAACGCATTATCTGCGGCCCCGACTCCATCCGCTTCTCAGAACACGACTGAATGGGCAAAGAATGTCCCCGCATTTTCTAGCTCGCCGAATAACCTGATCCAACTTGGAGAGTCCCCCCCAACGCTGCCATCGTCCTATGAAGATAGGCTTGCCCACTTCGGATGGACTACAAGAGAGCAACGAGGAATACCTCTCCAGAATGGGTACTCAACGTCAACTTCTCCTCCAAATCGCCGAAGACCCACAAGTTATCATTTGGACGGTAATTACTCGCATGGTGCTGACGATCATCACTCTCAAGTCTCATCTTATGCTGCTCGTAGAAGCTCGATGTACTCGCAGTATTCCCGTTACGGTCCGCAGCCCCCACTTCCGCACCAAGCCCAAGCACATTTCTATGGAGCACCAGATGTCAACCTCCTGCTTTCCCACACTGCGCCTGGTCTTGTTCCTGGTGATAATGGATATTACTGTGGCTTCGATAGCTTGCCAATTTCTTCTCAGGACTCTCCAAAAACTGTCGATAATGTCGTTGTAGCTGGATATGATCGTGGACTTGACGTATATGCTGTAAGCAGGAGAGGGTTGAATAGGATCGTCAGGATCGACGGGCTCCGTGGCGGAGTGTACAATGCAAAGATACTCTCATGGAATCTCCGAGGCAGCAATTCCCAACATTTTCCCTTAATAGCTGTTGTTGTCCATGGCGCGGTCTGGACATCTAGTGATGCCTCGAGTGGAGAGTTCCCTGTACCTCCGTCGGAAGGAATCTCAGCGACTCAACCTGAAAGTGTTCGAGGACCATCGAGAGTTCACACCCCTTCAACTCACGAAAACGATACCTCGACTGAATATTACCAAACTACAGTAGAGGTCTACTCATTGAGTACCAAGGAACATGTGGCAACGCTTCTATCTCTACCGAAAACACACGTCACTATCCCCACGACGAGCCCGCTATTCAGAGCACCAGCTCCGGTTGGGTCATTGTCTATCCTTGCAGACAGTGGTAATCTCGTGATTGCGTCTGGTACGACTGGGGAGACCTGGATGTTCCGACAAGAAGGGGCTGACACTGCCTTGCCAACGTTCAAATGTGTCGGGAAGGTTTGGACTACCGTACAACATGGACTTACGGTTGACTCAACCGATCTCCATGGACTCGCAGATGGCGACTGGCGCCATAGCGACCCGCCCTCCAGACGACAGCAGTACAAGGCTCCGATCATATCTCTGAATGGCCGATGGCTAGCATATTGTCCATCTACACCTTCATCGCAGATCTCTCTTCGGGCAGCAGTCCCTATTGTTTCTCCTACCGCGAGAATACCCGGCCTGAATGGACAAGCTCCGCCTCAGCTACCACCCGTAAATTGTTTGGTGGAGACGCCAGGCGGAGAAAGCATGATGAAGCAACTGGCGCAAGCAGCGACCCAAGAAGTTATTAAAGGTGCGGCATACCTTGGGAAACAAGGAGTGCAGGCCTGGAACAATTACTGGAACAAATCACCACCTCACCAACCTACTAATGGCGGCATGCAATATCAGACTCATCAAAATATGGCTCATCAATTTCCTCCAACTCATGGAGTACCAAACCAGGCGCCCCCAATTAATAAGGACCCTGGACTGATATCTATCATCGATCTGGATTCCCTAGTACAACACAACTCCTTCACTGGGGGGTTACCGCATCCCTTGGCCACATTCAAAGTCCCCCATGGGTGTAGCTTCCTTTCTTTTGCTCCCAGTGGCCTGGCTTTGTTCACAGCAAGTAGTAAAGGTGATGTGCAATTTGTCTGGGATCTGATGCGAATCCAGTATTCCAAGTCCTCATTTCTTAAAGGGGGGGGCCAAGGCAGTGAAACCCATGGCCCCCATGTTAGACAAATTGCTTACTTCTCGCGAATGACAATCGCGAGGATTGTGGACGTTGCCTGGACTTCTCCACATGGTGAGCGCGCTGCAATGGTGACGGAGCCTGGCACAGTCCATATCCTCGATCTTCCAGCTAGTGCCTTTACGTGGCCACCACCCCGCCGAAAAGTTCCCAGCCGTAAGCCCGATGAAGACACTGGTGGTTCGCCACTCTCTGCTGCTGGTGTGGCTTCAAACGCTGTCAATTCTCTGTGGACTGCTGCTCGACCTCTGGTAAGTCGGAGGCGTCGAAGCAGTACAGGAATTTCGGCTTTATCAGCAGCCAGTGTATCGTCTCAAGCAGGCCATGGAACTCATGCATTGGCTGCGGGAATCAGTAGGTCAGTCGGGGCTGCAACGGGAAGGATGAATGAGATGCGAAAATCTGGCAGCCCTAAATTGCATCTACCTCGAAGTGCAGTGACACCAAGTAGAGCCTGCATTAGGCTGCTCAACGGGAAACGCAGTGACTCGGTTCTTGTTGTTGCTAGTGGAATTGTTGGATTGTATACAGTCAAGAGCAGACGAGCTGATCGGCCGGCGGATAAGCAGAAAGCATCTAGGGGTGCCAAGTATGTTGAGTTCAGGCTCCCATATCTTCCCGACTTTAATATTGCTCCCGAGGATATCCACGAAGCCGCTCAAGGCGTCGACCTCGAATTCATTGAGCGGGACTTGGACCCTCTCTCAACAAGATTTGGGCGATCAAAACCACCAACAGCTCGACCTCAGGGTGTCGAATCCTCAATCCCTCAGGCAGAGATTGAGTCTAATGCTCCGTACCAGCCTTTCCACACTGATCGACGGGTTTCCCTGCACGTATACTCTCATGAAGAGGCTCCAATCTCATCACCGTCCGTATCAGCTCTGTTATCTCCCACTGGAGCGAGGGACGACATACCCTCGAGACTAGTTACCAAGTCCAAAATCCCCTGGTCTTTCGGTGGTGAAATCAAATCTGTCAAGCTTGATGTAGGGCCGGCTCAAGACACTGAAGATTCGTTCTATGCGCCGTCTGATCATCGTGCGCTTCCATCATCGGCAATTGAGCGTATCATGAGAGTCACAGATCACACCAATGATATGGATCAGATTGTAGTCACGACCAGATTAAGAAAGAGTGGCCGCTCAGGCAGCGGTAATGCTGGGGATGATGATGAAGAGGGTTTCTTTGAAGACGATTGCGAGGTTTTGGACTTTGCCAGTCAGAGGGTTTGATCTACGTTTTGTTATTTGTTATGCGTTGGGTTTGCTCTCTCTTCATATTACCCTTCTACACAGAAAGAAGTATTGGAGTATAGAAGGATGGCGACTTGGTGCATCTTGACAGTGTTCTCTCCTTTATTAACTCATATGGCAAGGCCACCTAAGAGGTTCACAGCTGCGATACTCGTGCTGTCGAGAGACAGGTATGCTGACTGCATACGCCGCCATTTTGCTGGCGTTTTGGATTGGATGGAGCGTGGATGGATGGCATTGACGAGGCGAGATCATTTGAGATACCATGAATAGACATATATACCTAAACATACATACAATTTGACAGCGACAATAAGCAGCGGGGCGCCTCTCTGATATGATATGCGTGATACCACGAATGGGTCATCCATTATATTGTGAATCTGTTGAACCACAATGCGAGCCATCAGGAAAACGATAGATACCTTAGGTAATCTCCAACTTCGAGAGCTGTTCGTTTTTGAATACCTGCCTAGATGCAAGTCAGACAGCAAAGGTCATTGCAACTCCAGACGCCTGTCTTGGTCAAAATATCTTCCACTGGAACCCTTTTCAGCAGCCGCCCTACCCATCCTTCTTTTTTTTGCGTTTCTCCTATTTTACAAGTTCCATACAATGCTAATATTTCTCTGCCATTTATTTGGTGGAATGATAGCTAGCTTCTGTACTTGAGCACTTATATTTCTTTAATATCTTTTGAAATATGAGAGTTCTTGTTATGTAATTTGGGATGTTGGTAAATCATTCGAGATTACTATAATCATTTTTGACCCTGAGACTCCTATTACAGATATGTTCATAATCCAGCCCGCAATGGCTTCATTAAGGTGAAATAGCAACCACTTCTCTAGATACGCTTCTCTAAATATGCCTTGCCCGTTTACCGACGGCCTTCTTTTGTCTTCTGTTTGGGTTTGGGTTTTGCTTTCTGATCGGTGGGCTCTGCTGGTAAGCTCGAGCCAGGTATGGGTAAAAACTTGCCAACCAACTGTTGATACTCTTTGTAATCCGGGTACTTGCTCGAGGTGATGAGCTCGGTGAACCACGTTGACGCCTGGAAGAGGAAGATATACGACATAGCACCCAAGATAGTCCAATTGTAGAGGACTTCGGACGCCCAGCAACCCCATTGGTATATTATGACCCAGATTGCCTGCTCAGCTGCGAAGTTGGGGTGGCGGCTCCACGACCAGAGACCGGTCACCACAAACCCACGATCGAGGTCTTCTTGATTGAAACCTGGTGGCACTTTGGCGCTTTTCTGGTAGGCTTTCTTTGCTTTCTGGTAATCTGCCACGGAGAGGTTAGATATGTGATATCTCTGATGCCGGAATGATACTCACTCCACTGCTGTTGATCTGCGAGAAACTCCACCAGTATTAAGCCCATTAGGATCCTCGCAAATATTATGTCGGCCGTACCCATTGTTCCATTAAAACGAGATACAAGTAACATGACGTATGTGGGTGTTGAAACCAAGAAGAGCAGTATGTTTTGCGCGAGGGATATGAAGACGACGTTGAATACGAAGAACAGCGCCGGGCTGATCTTCTTTCGAAGGACCTCCCTAGAAGCTATCAGTACGTGTGCCGAGGCTAGAAAAGGTCATTCACCATACCATCTGTAATCCTCCGATCCAATACTGTATCCTCCCTTGCGCCAGTAATTGAAGGTCAACCTCAGCTAGAGCTTTGTCAGGTATAATTTCCGGGCAGCTGAAAGGAACCACTTACACTCCACACGGTGCTAACAGCAATTAAATTGTCAAGGCGCTGAGTTGGCAGGCCTGCCAAATGGGCATACACAACGTAATGGGCATTATAGAGTGTAGGCAGGAGGCTCCAGCACCTGTCTACTTGCGAGTAGTTCTTATTGATCTCCGAAATCAGGAGGAAGAACGGAGATATGAAGAGCGAGAATGCGAAAGCGGATACGAGGGGATTGGTGGCTAGGTAGATAGCCAGAAGCTCCTCAGGTTTGTTGTAGGACTGGAGGAGCTGTTCTGGGAGCGTGTATAGCTGTGAGATGTAGGGGACAACGGTCTTCGAGAAATCAGCGCATTCAACAACGCTCTTCAATGGAGGTAAAGCCATATCGAAGGCTTATGAAGCTGCTGCTATGCCGATGCAAACTCGCAGACCGATCAATTTGCGGATAGGATGGAGGAGTTGTGCTCCATTGCTCACTTTGTATTTCTTATTCCTTCAGATGATGACGGAATGGGTTCCACCAAATCTGAAGCTTCCACGCGATCAGCCAAAGGATCGCTTGGCAGCCGAGAATTTAAGTAAATATTTATTTTTTACCCAAGGCATCTATATCTCGTATTAAAGCTTCTTTTCGAGGATCTATGGTAGTATTATGGCATTACTGTATTCCATACCGTACAGTAGAACCTCTTTCATGCGCCTGGACTCTGCCCTTGTGGACGCACAGTCTTCCCAATCCTCACGCCGAATTGGCTGCCAAAATACCCGCGTGTGTTCTGAAGCTCTATCACTGTCCTGACATGCTTCTTCGTACGTGCTGAAGCTCCAATAAAGCTCTGAGATGATGGCTGTATCTACGTGACATTTGAAAACATGCCTGGAAAGATCCTCTGCGTAGCGGAGAAACCTTCCATTGCAAAGGCCGTAGCAGGCCATCTCTCAGGAGGGCAGTATCAGACCGTAAGTTGAACTTGCACTTCGTATGCTTGCTCAGTCTCCCGACTAAAGAGTCTTATCCAGTCAAACACAGGCAACACGTACATAAAAAACTACTCCTTTACCTTCGACTTTGGTCCACCATGGGGCAATTGCAATGTTGTCATGACCTGTGTTTCAGGTCATTTGACCGAACTTACTTTCGGTCCAGATTATAATGACTGGAGTTATCCTCCCCCGGAGCGTCTGTTCGATGCCCCTGTCCGTACAACTATTGATCAGGTTTGTGGCTCCGATCAAACTTTGACTTGGAATGAGTTTGCTCCTAACAAAGTTTTCAGAAAAACAGAGCTATCTCCTCGAATATTGAAAACCAGGCAAGAGGTGCCAGGGCTCTCTTCATCTGGACTGATTGCGATCTGGAAGGAGAGCATATTGGTAGCGAGGTGCGGGCAGAAGCTCTGAAAGGCAACAGTCGACTCGAGGTTAAGAGAGCAAGATTCAGTAATATCGAGAGGGCGTGAGTCACTATAGCCGGCGAATTGACCATTCTTGCTCACTCTCATTAGACACGTTATTCGTGCGGCAAAGAACCCCATTGATCTTGATGATCGTCAGGTTAATGCGGTTGCTGCTCGCATGGAGCTGGATCTGAGAATTGGGTATGCTTTCACAAGGTTTCAGACCAAAACTCTTCGAGCATTGGGCGGCCCATTCTCCGATCTTATCTTAAGCTACGGTAAGGATCCTCAAATGCATACACATGACGGTATTGTTTTCTAATACAGTACCACCAGGGTCTTGCCAGTTCCCAACCCTTGGTTTTGTTGTGGACCGCTACTTCAGAGTCAAAAACTTTGTGCCAGAGCCTTTCTGGAGTATCAAAGTCACACACAAACGAGACGATATTAATGTAGTTTTCAACTGGAGACGAAACCGCCTCTTCGACCGTGCAGTGGTAACCATACTATTTGAGAGATGCCTTGCTGCAAAGACTGCGAAGGTCACCAAAGTCCAGGAGAAGCCAACTAGTAAGTGGAGGCCATTGCCTTTGACAACGGTGGAGTTACAGAAAATGGCTAGCAGGTTCCTGCGCATGAACAGTCAGCAGGCTATGAGCATTGCAGAAAATTTGTACAACAAGGGCTTCATCAGCTATCCAAGAACCGAAACAGACCGTTTCGATAAAGGGATGAACCTTCGGGCTTTGGTCGAGAAGCAGACTCCGGATAACCGGTGGGGAGCGTTCGCTCAAAACCTGGTAAATGGAGCCTTCAGACAACCGCGGGAGGGAAGACACGATGATAAGGCACATCCTCCTATCCATCCAATAGCATACTGCGCCCCGACAGCATTGAACGCCGAGGAAGGTCGCGTCTACGAATTTATCACGCGCCGATTTCTGGCTTGTTGTTCAGACGATGCGAAAGGCAAAGCTACAGATGTCGAGATCGAGTACGGGGACGAAATGTTTCACACGCGCGGCCTCATCGTCTTGGAACGAAACTTCCTCGACGTGTACCCATATGAGAAGTGGACTAATAGCGCGGTCTTACCGAACTTCACGCTTGGAGAGAGATTCGAACCTACAGAGGCTTTGATGACAGACGGGAAAACCTCTGCCCCTGGGTACCTTACGGAGCCTGAGCTTATTGCGTTGATGGATGCCAATGGTATTGGCACTGATGCTACGATGGCTGAACATATTGCGAAGATCAAGACCCGAAGCTATGTCTACACACAACCAAAGACAGCAGGGCGAGGTGGAGGTGGCAACGATGGCAGCGACAGTGATGAAGCACCTGCCGCCGGACGCGGAGGCAGAGGAGGGCGAGGCGGAAGAAGTAATAGAGGAGGTCGGGGGGGAGGCGGAAGGGGAGGGGGAGGGGGAGGGGCAGCTGGTGGTGGAGTTGAAGAATTCATACCCTCGACGCTTGGTGTAGCGCTCGTGGCTGGCTATGACAGAATGGGGTTTGAAACAAGTCTCAGCAAACCATTCCTTCGAAAGGAGATGGAGTTGCGTATGAAGGCGATCTGTGAAGGTCGGGCGACACGTGCCGAAGTGATGCGGGAGAGTTTAAGACAGTACAGGGATGTATTCATGCAATCCAAGGAGAGGGTTCACCTCTTGAAGGATGTAAGTTACCCCACTACTCTCTTTGTCTTTCTCTCGCATCGCTGCTCACCCTTTACCTGTTATAGTCTTGCAGGACATATGTGCTCAATAATGGGGCGGGTCTATAGCACGGGAGTTGAGCGATTCGTCTACAATGAAAAAGATGCACGAGAATATGCAACAGCGTTCATTCCTGGAAAGTTGGAATTTGGAACATATGCTCTCTGAGACAGTCGAGTGGTCGGCCACTGCGGGACTAGAGCGTAGTAAATATTCCGCGCCTGTCCTCTGGGGCACGATAGTGATTGAATGGCCCACGAGTATCTTTGGAGTAATCATGGGAAGAATGGTACAGTAGCACCTAATGGTACCGAATACTTATCGGCACCGTCAAATAACTATCACGACGGCATTCAACAACGTGGGCTCGGGCTTGGAGGGGTAGAGTGGGGTTTATTCTTCATGATGTCTCCTCGGCCTCTCTTTGGCTTTTCCCTTGATCTCCTTGGAGGCTTGGCCTCTGGTCGGGCACTTGGTCTCTCTTTTGTTGGTGGGGTCGTGGACGGAGCTTGTCCTATGTACAGTAAGTAGGAAGGTGTCTGCTGATGCGTGGAAGCGTAGGTTTGGCCCAATGACGGCCCAACGGTGGTGGACGAATGGCCCATAGGGATGTGCCCTGATAGAACGTGGGGTTTGCTCTTCCGTCGCGACCCGCGGACTGCAGACGGATGCCTCGTCCTCCAGGCCAACGCAGTCAATCCGCGACACGACGCTGACCATCTAAAATAAATCGCGGGCTTTTGATTGGGTTGTAAGCATGAGAGATCTTTTGTGGGAAAAGCGTGGGGAGGTTGGGAGTGAATATAGGGTTTCGTAGGAATTGAAACTGACGTCGGGGACACCAGGGCAACTCGAAGTTTCCACGGTCCGGGATGCGCCGTCACGGTTACATGCACCGACACACATATCTCCCATATGGCTCTGGCTCCCCTACTATCCGACAACACACACAACACAACAACAACATCACCACAACACTTCGCACAGTACTCATCATACTGCAACATTCGCGCAATACATCCAGCAGCACAGTCCGGATTTGTTTTTTGAATCCTATTGCCACTCGTCCAAAGTCGCTCGCACTTCCGTCGCCCTGGCTTGAAAGCTATCCTGTCCCCCCCTTTCCCACTGCCATATCTCAGGTACTGGTAGCCCGGCCCGACAACAGCAATCACTTTCGCCCTTCAACATCGCAGCAACTCCATCAGCTTGCCCGATAGGATTCTCAGTTACGATCTCTGCTATTTCCCGGACTTGATCAATCGCTATCTTCTGCTTCTCTGCCTCGTCTTAGAAGCCAACTCGCCAACGTTTCTATCGCACAGTCGAGTGAGTCAGCCCAACATCAACAGCTTACTTGTGTTGCCGCCACGCTTCACCACGCGTATTTGGTCCAGAGCAGCTGCTAACCATGTGTCGCGTACTTACAGAGAAACGTCCGGAAGCAACTTCCTTGAACATGGCTTACATGACATCCTCTGCTCGCGATATCCCGAAGCCCTCTGGCCGAGACAGCTTTGCTGCTGTAGCGGCCAAGAGCGTTCCTATTGGCAAAGGCCATCCTCTCCCGACTCCGCCAAATTCCATATCCCCCTCCCTGCCTCCTCATGGCCTCAAGCCATTTGGGACGCGTTCCGGGGCGACCCAGGGCGTCTTGGAGCACGTCGATTCTGACCTCGACCTCCATGAAGGATCTGATGGAACCGGGCCAGATGGGCTCTCTGCACAAGAGCACGACGTTGGTTCGCCTGGATCTGAGGCGGCGGGGAATATTACTCCCGCTTTGCTCGCGAAGCATCATTTGCCAGAGATTCTCCTAGCTCATGGACCTCTGGCCATCCGCCACATCATGGGGTACCTCACCACATCTGTGCCAGGATTCTCTGGCATACCGCCTGCCAAAGCCAGAAGACTAGTGGTAGGCGCCTTGGAAGGGCGTGGTAGCGGAGGCGAAGGAGGTGGAGTGAAGGGTGACGTGAAGTTTGAGAAGGTGGGATGGGGACGCTGGGACGCAAGGTTGAAGGGCCATCCTGCTAGACATGGCAGAGGCATTGAACAGTCGCCACCTCCCAGTGCTCCATCATCATACTCCGGTGGGATGCCCATCGCAAAACCAAACAAGGGATTCTCCTTCGATAGAACGCGACTGAACGCGCCGGACTCCAGCTGGGCTGGCGACTCGGTCGTCTTCTCCCACGACGATGATATGGACACCATGATGATGGAGGATGAGGCTGACAAGATGTCGCTGGACGGGGATGCATCCTGCACATCGTCGGAGGCTCCCCCCGACGACGAGATTATGGGTGATGACTCTGAAGACGTAACAGACGACGAAGACTGGGCAGCAGTAGGAGCAGCTGCTCTACGGGCTGCATCCTACTCTGCATCTGGCCCTGGCCCGAACTTTCTCACATCCCGTCCATATCCGGGAGGGTCTCACAGTGGTGGCGGTCCGTCACTCTCATTGGCAAAATCCGTGCCTCTGAGGCCCGCTCAACAACCTAATAAACTTGATTTATCAGCCTTCGGTATGACCTCTGATTCCCAGGAACGGGAGGCTATCGAAGCTCTTTTACGACTTGGTTCTGTATAATAGATTTGGCGGCGTTACTGGGATGGGTGCATAATGGCGGCATGGCAGCATGGAGTGTGAGCGTCACGATCTGCCGGCGAGCATCGATCGATTGGTTTTCAAGCACGCTTTTTGATCATGATCTGAAGGATGGTTCTGGGATATGGTCGCTGTCCTTAAACAAAAGGATTGGGCGACTGGCATGGCGTTTTTTTCTTCTCAGGGGGGCGGATTACCTTGAGCCTGGGCGAAGATCTCGTGCGCTCGGTTCCCCCTCTATTATTTCCGCATATATTTTATCTTCGACGTTCAACACCACTCGACACTATATTTACTCGGTCTCTGGCGGACGAGAGATTTATGACACTTTCCTTAACGAATGTCATTGACACGGGCAGAACAGTCTCTACTACTACGTGGGCTGGGTGGTGTCTTTGCGGATTGCAATTTCGCAGCTTTATCGCACTTATGTATATTTAATCACACTTTTTGGAAGAGGGGGAGAGAGAGCGAAGGAGACGAATTGACGAGACCGCGTCTTGAGACGGCAGTGGATGAATAAAAAGAAACGTCCCGTAATAAGGGGACCAAACGAAAGGGGAGGAGATGACTTATTTTTTTTTTTGGTTTGGTTCAGCTAGTCCAAGCAAACTTGTTTTGAGGGCTTCACTGCTTCTTGAAATTTATAATGCAAGGTCTTAGATTTGTTCCTCCATGCTGCAGCGCTCCAAACTACCTGATTTATGCTACGTGACTTGATTGATCCGTCTGTGGAAGAACTACCTCGGTATTATTACCCCAGCACCGATGTTTAGGTATCCGGAGATGATATATGATCTCAATACCTTATCCAGCCTGACCCGAAGCCTGTGTTGTGATCCTCCGTGACCCATCCAACAAAGAACATAGATAGAACTATAGCTTTCTCGTCCCTGCATCAATGACCACGCAACTCCCGCAAGCTCCTTCCTGCATTTTTCCTTCCCTCGCTCGTGAAAAGTATATGTCAAGATCTTACCTAGGTACTTATCCCACTTATTCTTTCCCGCTACTCGGCAGGTTCCAGCTTCATAGAGTAGAACTTTGTATTACGCGTTAGCTCTTATTTATCGTATCGTTATTGCAATCAAGTAGAGAGAGGGAGGGAGGGGATGAATGAATGAATGCAGGAGGGAAGAAAGAAGACCTACATCAGCAGCCTCCTCCTGCTTCACCGTCGACGCCTCGGCCGTCTCGCTATCGATCAATCCCAACTTGCGGTCCCTCACAATCTGGAACCAGAGCTCCCTCCTGCCAGCCCCCAGCTCGTCACGCAGCAGTTTCGCCTTCAGATCCCGGATGATGGCGTTGTACGTGTCGGGCTCCTCGAACTCGATCATCTGGTCGCGCAGCACCGAGAGGTTCTCTAGGGCTTGCGCGTACCACTGGTCGCCGAGACTCGTCTTGATGAGCTCGTGGATGATGCCGGCCATCTGGGAGGCCGCGTCGTGGAGCACCGCCACGTCGCTGGCGGTTTCAAGCATCTGCTTGAATTCGGGGATGGCGTTGGTGGGGGATAGCTTGCGCCGCTTTTCGCGGCCGAGGAGCGACTCTATGTCGAGACCGGAGAGGGGCTTGATGACTTCGCGACGGCCGCGTTTGCCTTTGACTTTTGGAGGGACTAGGGAGGCTTATGTTAGATTGGAAGAGGGGTGAGGGGAAGCTGGGACTTGCCTTTCTTGACGGAGGCGGCGGCCACGAGTTTCTCAAGTTTCGGAGCGGCTTCTGAGACGAGCTCTGGTGGGGGCGCTGAATATCGAGTCAGGATCTCCGGAGGGGGAGGTATGGCTTCATCTGGCTGAACAGCGCGCCTGCGTATGGCTTGGTTGATTCTGTGGACTATGGGGGAATAGGTGTCTTCAATTGGCATGTATTCTGTAGGTAGACTACCAAGAGTTAGCCAGCAGCGCTCTGAACATGTGAACGGATGGGGCCATACTCGTCTTCATCCCTTCCAAACTCAGATAGATCCATGCTGTCTACATAATCGCTCATGGCGTGGACCAGCTCATCACTTGGGAGGTTCCTATGCTTCGTAAGGATAGCTCCAGATGTAGTGATGACCCTGTCCAGAGGTGGAAATCTGTAAACACGGACATCTTCAGCAAATGGAAGGGGGACATCAATAAGGGCTTCCATGTCCGGTTCGATTGAAGGGGCAAGTAGCAACATTTGGGGATCCTTCCCATCTTTTGTGACGATCCTGGCGACGGCGTAGGAATCAAGCTCGTGCAGCGCATGTATGAATGAGGATAGTGCCATTGCGGCTTTTTCATTCGTCTTTTGCGCAATAGTAATGCGGCTTTCTCCCAGGTTAAGAAACTTCTGATACTGATGACGATTAGTTTAGGCGGGTTGAAGCTGTTCTGTTCACGCATACCTTGTCATTAGGAATGAAACCAACGATTTCGAAGCTGCTAAAAGTCTCGAGTTTTGTGATGTTTTCATCCGACTCACTGATGTGGACGGCGGTCCTTCCATACTCATACCCCTTAGCTAGCTCTTCACGCTCCACATCCTTCTTCCCTCCAGGGGCCGCTGGATCATCGACCTTATAGGTTGTTGCACTCCTGACTGGGACGAGGTCACCCACACTTGAGGGTGCATCTGTCATCTCCGTATCGCCCCGGAGTGTGTGGGATGACTGTCCACTTGCTGCTCCATCCGTGGCGGAGGACCGAGTAACGAAGCTGCTAGCAGAAACCGGCTTTGCCACTTTAATTCTGAAGAACCGTTCAACATCGATCAGCATAGCTGTTTCGGGATAACTTCTGAAATCGCCCAGACTCAGCTTGCCTTTGTATGTAGAATACGGCCTGTACGGCTTCACACGAGGCACTGAGAGGTCGGCGATAGCTTCAGCGGCAGTTCCAAAGACGCCTTTAGAACACTTCTCTGTCAATTTTTTAAGAAGCTTCTCATTCTTTGCCTGACATAATATAAGCTGTGAGGAATACTAAGGTGGGACATTTTTACCAACCTTGAGGGCGGACTTGTCGTCCTCGATGAACCCGAACTCAGCATCATCAAAATCAACACCACTTGAGCAAGTTAGCAGAAAACACCCAGCCTTTCGAGGGAAGACCTACACAACCACAAGACCTATTCCTAGCTCGTTGATCCTTTCCACGATGGGCTCAATATCATCATCCTCGATAGTACCTTGGCCATCCGTGAGGAGAACAATTTTCCGAGCATATTTTCCCGGCTTCCCAGACTTCAAGGTTGTAAATTTTTCAATCAGCTGGATTGCAACCACGATAGCTGAGATGGCATCTCCATGATCGGTACTGCTGGTTTTGATCCGTTTTTGTAGATCCCTCAGGTGAGCCATCTCCATGGGTCCAAGAGGTTTCTGCACGCATATATTCGAGTATGCTTCGGCATCAGTCTCAGCTAGTTCATTCTCCGTCTCATCTGTTCGCAACCCAATAACCCCAACACCTGCTGTGACTCTGTTCGCCATCATCGTCTCGGCGATCTTGTCCCAGATATACCTCATGCCATAATCGAGATCACTCTCGACCCTGCCATTGTGACATTCTCCGGTAGAAGCACCTTGATCTACAATATACACTGTAGCTTCTTTGCTCGCCATATTGCGTCTCGCCGTTGAAGAGTGTCAAAGAGGTTGTATGATGCCAGACTAGCCGGGTCGACGCGGTCATAGGAAAGGGGAGCGTAGGCAGACGCGCCCAGAAACACCTTCTCACGTGACCCAGTTATTAATCCTCGGCATATTTGATCTCATCGTACGTTATTAACGGGGTGGTTTCATCGTGCCTCACTTCACTACAATCAGCATTTTTATTTTATTATCCTACTGTACATATTGTCTCACAATGCCAGATCTCTCGATTTTGAAATCTCCTGCTCCGTACCATATCATCACGTATGAGCTGCTTGTCTCCCAGGACTATATTCCCAGATATTGATCTCCAGCACAGATATGGCACCTTGCTGGGCACCCAATTCTTTCAGGTACGTATCCGGCCGCTATCTAAATTCTGAGTTCTTGTCATGCTAACCTCTTTTTTCTCCCAGAGCTTTATCGGAGGCATAGTTGCCTTTAGGACGCTCTCACGGCCCCAGTTCGCGGCCTTGCAAGCCAAGATATTCCCCATCTACTTCGGCCTCCAGACCGCGCTTCCAGCCATCCTCGCCGTAACATATCCCGGTGCGAGATCTCCACGGGGCACGGCTTCGGGTCTGCAAGGAACCTTTGCGGAGGTGAATCGATGGAGTGTCCTGGCGCCTCTCGCCACTATGTTCGTCGCGGGCCTCGCGAACCTGCTCGTTATTGGGCCCACGACTACGAAAATCATGGCGGAGCGGAAACAACAAGGTATGTCGTATTCGCTGCTCTGGAATGTTTTAGGCATGGGGCTGATTATATGTCCTCTAGAGGTGAAAGATGGGAAGAAGTCCTATGATCCTGCCCCGCATTCAAAGGAGATGCTGAAGTTGAACCAGGTAAGGTCACTACTACTAACGGCTTGCCCTTGGCCTACTAACTTCAGCAGGCCTTTGGTAGAATCCACGGCATTTCATCATTGGTGAACCTGGTGAGCTTCCTTTCGACTGTGGTGTATGGATTCCATCTTGCTGGGAGGCTTGAATAGACGGCTATGAACAGCCATCCTGCAGCATTGTTTTGTATTGTATATAGATCGAACTTTACATGACGCTCGCTATGTTTTAATATCCTATACGGGGTCTGTACCTTTGTCTAGTGGGTAAGAACAAACTTCCTTATTTGGCTACTATCAAGTTCGGCCTGGCATGCTCTGTCAAGTCCCAACTCAGCAACAAGACCAAACAATCATAGCCCCATGATCCCTTCCCGAATACGATTATTTCCCCGGCGCAAGGCCAAAAGGGCCCATCGCACGATGGATCGGAAAACTGGATCCTTTCTCCAGCTTTCGGCTACAGCGGATGGACCATGGCCTGGAACTGGGTACTGCAGCCCCGGATTCCAACAAAAAGACGCAAGGAAAATAGGCCGGAAAATAATTGCCACTACCCCGCATCGTACATTACGCACCATAACACTGTAGAGCGCGCGGGACTCTTAAATCCCGCTCAGTAGTCGCATCGCCCATCCCGTGCTTGCCGGCAATCTCAAGTCTAGAGGTCAAAAGACTTAGGCAGGACTCGATTGAGGGGTTGTGTTGCGGGGTATCCGGGCTGGGCATTACGTCCCCATACTCCGTACTGGTAGGAGGATTCGGGCCTGTTTGCAAGCATTTGACCGCCAGTGGCAATTACTCCAGAGACCGGGTCGGATTATCTGGAAGCTGGGGACATGATGATGATTACTCCGTAACCCCTACATGTGCTAAGGTCCGAAGGAGAGGCGGTCGAGAAGGTACGTACATGTACCGCAAGCCTGACGGCCGGGCCGGGAAAACTTTGATACGACACCATAAAATTTCCGACGAAATCCCATAACCAACTATCACTTGAGCGTGCAATTGGTCCCGCCCCCAGAGATTTATCTTTCTGCTATGGTGAGGTGACACAGTCGGGCAAGAACGCTTACACTTGGCTGTGATCACAAATGCTATGTCGCTCTACTATGAGGCAGCTGACGTTCTGACTGCGCCGACTAATGCAGGTGGCAGCTTGAAATCGCGGGTCTTCAGCAAGAAGGGCCTCAAATCACCGCCGGCGCAGGTCTATGCGCTGGCAATAGAGACGTGCAAGTGGAGCCCGATTCTGAAAGAGGTCATCGAGCATGCTGATATACTGCGCCTCGAGCGGAAGGTCGGTTTGACTGCAGCTCTCGTCGGGGAACACACGTACTGATTCGGTCTCTGTAGTTGTCGCCGCTCCTCTCCCTTCTGCTGGTCCACGACCTTCTCTTGGCCAAACGCGGCATTGCCCTCCCGGCGACCCATGGCCTCCGAACTGCCATCGAACGCCACAAGGCCAGGCTACAGGCGGAGTTGACAAAGGCAAGAATTCGAAGGAAATTGAGCTCCATTGAGTCGCTAAAGGCCCACGTCGAAGCGGGCGGGGAGAATGCTACCGATAGTTCGGAGGCCCCATACCCACGCTGGGTACGTGTTAATACATTGAAAACTACACTGGAGGATCAACTCGAAACAACATTCGCAGGATACGAGCGGGCTGCTACTATCGACGGTGTGCGTCGTCGAGACTCGAAACAGCTGTACATTGATGCGAATATACCTAATTTGGTTGCTGTTTCCCCATATAATGACCTCCAAAAGAGCGAGGCCTATAAGTCTGGGTCTATCATATTTCAAGACAAAGCGTCATGCTTTCCCGCCTACCTCCTCGACCCTCTCCCTGAGGATGGCGACATAGTCGACACCTGCTCTGCACCGGGGAATAAGACCACTCACATTGCTGCCATCCTTCTTGCTCATAGTTCGGAGCCCGAAGATTGTAAGCAGACGATTCATGCCTTTGAAAAAAACAAGGGCCGAGCAGAAACCCTGGAGAAGATGGTCAATTTGGCTGGTTCAAACGTATGGACCAAAATACATCCAGGACATGACTTTTTAAAGACAGACCCTAGTTCTCCTATGTTCAGAAATGTAGGGGCTCTGCTTTTAGATCCCAGTTGTTCTGGGAGTGGTATCGTCGGGAGGGACGATATGCCAGAGCTGCATCTACCTTCCGTCGGACAGGGCACGGCTGCAGCATCGAAAGGCTCAACGAAGGGCGCCAAGGCACCCGGTCACAGTAAGGAGACACGGAAACGGAAAAGAGAGGAAACTGAAGAAGATCTTGTCATGGTGGACGACGATGGAATGGTCACAGCAGTCGATACCGGTGATGAACTGAAGAGTAGACTCGCAGCGCTTGCCACCTTCCAGCTCGAACTGCTCCTCCATGCCTTCAAGTTTCCTGCGGCGCGGAAGATCACGTATTCGACGTGCTCTGTCCACGCCGAGGAGAACGAGGGGGTCGTTAAAAGCGCCCTCTCCTCAAGCATCGCGAAGGAGCGTGGTTGGCGCATCCTCAAGCGCGATGAGCAGGTCCGAGGGATGAGAGAGTGGCCGGTCAGGGGATCTCTGGAAGCGTGCGGTGAGGATGCTCAGCTCGCGCAGGCGTGCATACGAGCCAACAAGGGTGATGCACATGGAACTATGGGCTTCTTCCTGGCGGGATTTGTGCGTGACCCGATGCCTGCGGCTGACGTTGAAGCACAATTCCTGCGCGACGAGCGAGGGCACCTCGTGCGAGACGTGACGGGTGTGCCGGTGAGGGTGGGCGAGGAAAGGGTGGACGAGGAAGAAGAGTGGAATGGATTCTCCGAGGGGGAAGCGAACGAGGACGACGCGGGGACATCACAGGATCACGTGGACCCGCCGACAGAGGTGGGGGACGATGGCAAGCGGCGGGTTGGGAAGCGACGAAGGAAGACGAAGCCAAGCGAGAGATCGTGAAATCTTAATGGGACGGTACTCCGTATCCATGTACCTATAGAAGCCGATAGAGCACTCCGAACTCCGTACCATTCTGGTCCGTAGGTGCGGAGTAGGCCAAGCCTCCAAAGGCATTCCAGATAATTCCACCGAGAGGGCGAGAAGCGCTGTGACGAGCCTGGCGGCACATGATTGGCGGAGACAGGACGGAGCATCGGTGCTCGGTAGCTTTACTCCTTGATTGACTAGCCCAGATAGGGAGGTCGGAATCCGGCGACGCAAGAAGTCTATAGCAGCCACAGGGGTTCAAAGCGGTTAGGCGGCAGACCGTCTCGGGCGAAGATCTTGGCTGCGGCTCTCGAGACTGGTTTCAGGCTGCGTGTCACGGGCGCCCAGCCTTTCCCATCGGAGCTGTTTCCTGTTTCCACTGACAGGGCAACCACGCGCGGCGCAGAAGGCCAGCTAGGGAGTCGCCCCGGTCTGCCGTTATCTGGGTCCGGGTACTCGTGCAGTACTAGGTACCTTGTCAACAGCCAACTTGTGCAATTTATCCAATTTATCCCCATTTATCCCAACTTATCCCAACTTATCCACAACTCATCCACACTATCCACGCTTTTATCCTCGCCCCGCACGAGTCTAAGCACGGATACAGCTCCTGCGCTGCCTCGAGTTATGCAGAGTTATCCCCGTTATGCATCTCCGGGGCGCGCGCTACTCCAGACTAAGACCCCATGTTCCATGGTCCACGCCCGTATTTTTGTCTGTTTTTATCCCCTCCGGTCAGACTCTACGCTGCGTGTCCCACTGTATTATTATAATTATTATTATGCTTATTGTTTTTTCCTCCCAACGGAGCGGAAGGCGGAAATCCCTGCACCACGCATATCTTAGACCCGCTATCGCCGTATGCATGCTGCTTATGCCTGGGTGAATCTGGCAAACAGCAAATCATAGGCAATAAAAGAAGAGTAAGGTAGTAAATAAAAGTAAATAAACCCTCTTTTTCCAATACATACCAAGACCCGCGTTAACGCCTTTTCGTATTTAATCTTCGGCGCCTCTCTCGTCGATTCTCTCTCTTCTCCTCTCTCTCGCCCTGCCCATTGCTTTCGTTCTCTTGTCCCCCTCCCCTCCCCTTTCTCTTCCCTGGCTGTGCATCTTCTGGGCCATATCAGATTCGCCCAGACCCCCCGGCGACCACTGTGGACCCGTCGTACACATGTGCGCGTAGCCTTCGCTTGCTTCCGCTGTCCTGATTTCTAGAAGTCTGCCTCGCCCATCATGGGTAACACTGCACCAGAACCATCCTCCTCATCAAGGCCCTCGACCGATCTTCCTGAACTCAAACATGACGCCGAGGCCCAGAATCCCGCCCCCAAGAGGGCTTCGCATTGGCAGCTGGTCATCGATCAGACCCATGTAACCCCCGAGGTTTTGAACTGGCAGTACAAGGGTTCGGGCACTGAGGAGGATCCCTACGCTGTGGAATACATCGATCATGATAGACGGAATCCTATGGGCTTCCCACGATGGAAGAAGTGGTCGATCACCGTTGCGGTCTCTGTTGTAAGTTTTCCAGCCAAGCAATTCTAGAATACTTGGCACTGATCCAGATCTGCAACAGACCACCTTGGCCGTAGCCTTCGTGTCCTCTGCATACACAGGAGGTATCGACCAGATCATCCGCGGCTTCGCGATCGGCGAGGAGGTAGCGACCTTGGGCGTAAGTCTGTTCGTCCTGGGTTTTGCAATTGGCCCTGTCATCTGGGCTCCTATGTCTGAATTATACGGGCGCCAAGTCCTCTTCATCGGAACGTATGCGATGCTTACGGCATTCAATGCTGGAGCGGCCGGCTCGCAAAACATCCAGACGCTCCTTATCTTGCGGTTCTTCGCTGGCGCCTTTGGGTCTTCTCCCTTGACCAACGCCGGTGGTGTTATTGCGGACATGTTCCCCGCGGCGGAGCGTGGTGTGGCCATGTGTGTCTTTGCTGCTGCTCCTTTCCTTGGACCGACTCTCGGTCCCGTCGTTGGAGGCTTCCTTGGAGAGACCGAGGGCTGGCGCTGGGTCGAAGGTTTCTTGGCCATCTTCACCGGGGCCTTGTGGATTCTCGGAGCCTTGACCATCCCCGAGACCTACTCGCCAGTGATTCTCAGACGCCGCGCGGAGAAGCTTTCCAAGATGACAGGCAAGGTCTATAAATCCAAGATAGAACTCGACCGCGGACCCAGGACCGTGAAACAGGAATTCACAGTGGCTCTGTCCAGACCTTGGATATTGTTATTTCAAGAACCCATTGTCCTGCTTCTGAGTGTATACATGGCTATCATTTATGGTACGCTTTACATGATGTTTGGCGCCTTCCCCATTGTATACCAAATTGAGCGTGGGTGGTCCCAAGGTGTAGGGGGCTTGGCATTCCTAGGAGTCCTGGTTGGCATGATGCTAGCTGTTATATATTCTTTCTGGGACAACGCTAGATACAAGAAGGTCGAGGCCAGATGCAATGGCAATGCCCCGCCGGAGACACGTCTACCACCGTCTATGCTTGGCTCAATATGTCTACCAGTCGGCCTTTTCTGGTTTGCGTGGACCAACTCCCCTTCGATTCATGTACGTATACCCAGCCCCTATGCATCTCTTCCCCCTTGAACTGTCTCGCGAGCTGTGGACATGATCCATTGGAGTTACCTTTGGAAGAAGAAGAACATGTCTTCTGGCCCGTAAATCACGTTCCACCACGGCTCGGTTCTACAGGGATTGTGCTGACAGAAATCTCGTAGTGGTCAGCCTCCATCATCGGCACCGCGCCATTTGGCTTCGGAATGGTTCTGGTATTCTTGAGTATCATGAACTACTTGATCGACTCATATGTTATATATGCCGCATCAGCTCTGGCAGCAAACAGCGTTCTGAGATCTCTGTTTGGTGCCGCCTTCCCACTGTTCACGACTTGTAAGCTCCCTATTTCCCACCCCTCTCGCTTGGCAGCTATTCAGACTAACAATGACAGACATGTACCGCAACCTCGGAATCCACTGGGCGTCGTCAATCCCCGCATTCCTCGCATTGGGATGCGTTCCATTCCCCTTCCTCTTCTACAAGTACGGCGAACCCATCCGGTTGAAGTGCAAGTACGCTGCCCAGGCCGCCGCCGTGCTGGAGCAGATCCGAGGGGGCGCTGCCGCCCGAGCCGCGCCGCCGCCACCAGTGCAAGCAGAACCCAGGGGAGAGGAAAAGGAGTCCGAGTCGCACACACCCGTGTCGCCTCAGCCCGAGCACGACAAGGAATCAGCAGCGTGAAAAAAATATCCCCGCTCCCGGGGAGCAGGACGCGTTTGGAGAGGCTCATACCGTTACGTGATGACGGTCGGCGTATCTCTCTTGCTTGATTGATTGATTGATTGTTATTTTTTGTGAGCGACTTTTTAGAGAAAAATCCTCGTTTTTTTATTTTGCATCATGGCCCCGGTCCTGGTTGTACATGATAGACGGCTTAGACATAATGCGTGCGGGGGGGAGTTTTGTTAGAGAGAGATATTACCATAGATTCCCCCAAAAAAGTGTCATAATTTAATAAATACTCAACTCCAGAGAGAGAGAGAATAACATTTTCGCTTCTTTAAAAGTTCGCATAGTACCGTGTTTTGCTTTCTGCTTTTTTTTTCCTATTGTCTCTCCACTCCATTTCTTTTCCTTCAATATACGGATTATGCACGCACGCATTAACCTGTATTGCATTATTGAGTACCTAGCCATATTCCCAAATCACTCGAAACCAAATTCCTCCCTCTCCCGTCCTCTTCCAGATCTCCCTCCCGGATCTCGTTACCTTCCTTACCTTACCCCTCATTTCAGCCCCCCGCCCTGACTAAGGTACCTTAGGTATATATACCCCGCACTTTCATACTTGCTCTGCCTTATGAAAAAAAAAAAAAGTTGAGGTCCAAGTTCTACCCCGCTATCCACATCCACATTCCTCCACTGTACTACAGTTAGTCGCCCCCTCTCTTTCCCCATCATCATTAGGTACCTAGTAGTGATGATGGGATGGGAAGGTAATCCACAGCGCTACGCCCCACCCGCGCGCGCTCTCCCGAGTTCCCGAGTGGAGTGCCCCCTGCACGGCTGGTTAGGTTGGTATCGTTTTGTTACGTATTATTTTCTGAGCAGAAATCCTCCCCGGATTTCGATTCCTAGAGTTTGGGAGTGGTTCACAAGATACGATATGCAAAGAATTTAATCTCCAAAGTTTTTTTTTTATTTTTAATTTTTGATTTTTGATTTTGAGTGTCTGGTTACCCCGCTCTCCTCACAGGTCCCATCTCCCAACTGCCGCCCACGCCGCCCGCATAAGTCCTCTCAGGCCTTGCAAGTCCCCTCTCGACATCCCTCCGAATCCTCTCCTCTGTCTCCTCCCTCATTCTCTGCTCCTCCTCCCTCTTCCTCTCCTCCTCGGCCGCAGAATCATCGACGTAGTTCCCTGCGCCGCCGCGGCCGGCGCGTCGCGCGAGAGGTGGTGGCCCGCTGGAGGCGGAGGCGTGCGTCGGGATACGGGTTAGGGGGATGGTGGGGGGAGGGGGGAGGGTGCTGGGCTGCACCCAGTTCCCGGCGCCGCCGCGGCCGGTGTGTTGATATTCGGGGACTTGCGAGGCTTGGGAGGAGGTGGTGAGGGTTTGGGTTAGGGAGGGGAAGGAGGTGGAGGTGGAGGTGGAGGTGTGGTGGAGGGAGAGGGGGTTTTCCTGAGAAGAGGTTAGTGAGGGGATGGGGATAGTGTCGATTGATATATAGAGGGAGAGAGGGAGAGAGAGCTTGATGCTGTGCTGTCGAGAGACGAAGAGGGAGAGCTTACAGAGACGCTGCTGGTGGAGTTCGACTCCTCGATTTCTTTCTTGCTGTAGACGTTCCCGGCGCCGCCACGGCCTACTCTCTGATACGGCTCTGCCATTCTGCGATCACGTCCGATACGTGCGAGGCACCAATGATCGTGGCGACGACGAACAAACAAGCTGGACTTTCTCTTTCCCCTACTTTAATTTTTTTCTTCTTATTTTTTTTTTCTCGGGGCTCTCTCCGCCAAGTCGAATTCTGAATGATTACCGAGGTCGAGTGGGCAAGCAGTACGGACGATCATCTAGATCATCGTTGACCTCCATGATCCTCTCTTCGGATCTGAAGATTCATCGTGGCGGTTGGAGGTAGAGGGGGGTATCTTAGTTCTGGGCGAAGAAGGTTCTCGGCGCGCGGAGATAACTAACCACCTCGATAAGCAGTGGCCTCATGGCCTGAATCGGTGACATCGCTCGTTGAATTGAAAAGAGGTTGACTATCTTAACCTGAGGTATCTACATACATACCTACCTACTTACTGTACCTTTATGTTACTACCTATGATGGAGGAGGCTCAGCTGCAGAATTAGACATCGCGGATAGCACGATGATGGAATCCTTCTCGCTAGGTATGCATACCCAGCTAAGGTAGGTAGATACTTGAAGACGTATGTCATCAGGAACGACCTTAGGTAGGTTACTTACCTACCTCTGAATCTGAGGAAACACACTCCCGTCCGGCAAATATCAAGCCGAAGGAAAGCATAAGGTAAGTAGGTAAGTTGTCTCACCCACCCATCCGTCATTCATTACTAGACAGGACAATAGTGGCGGATCCCATAATTAGTATAGTATAGTATACCTACGCCCAAAACCCAAACCAACTGTCAAGTGTCAATCAACATGTCAAAGGTCATCAAAGACATCAATTACGTCGTCTGATATTTATTATTAGGTACCTTACCTTATACCACAGCTGTTGTGTTCCCAAGCCGCGGCATCACCCGCGTTCAAAGACAAGAAGAAGAAGAAGAATCGGGATTCCTCCGCCGCCCGCCCGGGTCCCTGGTGCTGACCTGCATTAGTTAGAAGCAGGGCCGAGAAGTTCGTTCTGTACTGTAATCTTCAACAGCGACTACTTTCCCAGTAATCATGCGTGCTGCGATCTGGCCTGATCGAGGGGGGGCTGGTGTTATGTTATGTTCCGGTCATTATTTACGCACTGCCATCTACCTATCTTATTATTGTAATCTACCTTTACCTTACCTAGGTACCTATCTATCTGTATCTTATAGTGTAGCCGCCGGCTGGAAGCGCGCAGGATATTAATAGAATCCTTACATAGATGATGCTATGCGCGCGGAAGAAGAAGAAACAAAGAATGCATGAAAATGAAACGGAATGCAGCAGGGGAGCAGTACCTAAGAACCCCTCATTAAAAAGAAAATAAATAAAGAAGATCCAAAATTGAGAAAGAATAATATAGTCCGGAGATGTACCTATGTACAAGCGCCGTCCGTCTGATATTCAGGTAAGGTAAGGTAATATCAGGAATTATATATATAGTTGGTGTGGCTTCATTTCATGCCTTGCTCTGCTGCTCTAATACCTTACATGAAGATCTCGAATAATTCTACAGGGCTCATGATCTAGGCAAGTATATGATTCCGGTACATGAATGAAATCCTGCCTGCTCTTTTTCTTATGGGAGATAGGTAAGGTATTCACATGATGCAGCATCAGATCAGACATGGGATTGGATTGGACTCAATGGCCTACCTTCACCGCGCCATACCCTCTCAGATCTAGAGGTAAGAAGAGAGAGCACGATACGATCTTTGTCTAACGTCATGACATGAGAAAAAAAATATAATGAAGTAGAATAAAATCATAGAATAAAATAAAATAAAAGTTGGGCACAAAAAAAAAAGGTACGGGTGAGCCCGAGTACCTTGCGTGACGTGACGGGGCATTATCATGGCGGCAAACGTGCCTTGCGTAAAGGTACCTTACACAGCTAGTAGTCGGACCTACCTAACCTACCTACCTAGCACCGTACGGTAAGGTAAGGTAATAATAGCGTAGCACTCAATCTACAAGCCACTATCAGCCCCCACCAGGCGTTGACCCCATTTACCTCTGTGACTCTTGTCTCACTCGCTGGACTGGAGACTTACTTATCCGGATCCAGCGTATGATGTCCAAGGCAAAGTGGGGCCCTGCCCCTCGCCATCTGATTGAGTGAGTGAAAGCTGAGCCCGTGTTATGTCCTCATCAGGCTCATCTCATATGATGCGAATAGATGGGATCGTCACCAGCACCAATTAGCACTCGGCATTTCCTTCCTTCCCCCCTCAGTACTGCCTCAGGCCAATAAGCTCGTCCTGTGATCACCCATCACGCCCCCCCCCCCATCAAATCATAATCATCAGCCATCAGTCATCAGTCATCAGTCATCATCGGGCCCCATCAGATGCCATCGGCATGTTACCGAGATTCCTCATTTAATATCCTTTATCCTTTATCCCACATCGATGACCGTGCCCCGCGAGAATCGAGTCTAGTGTGCCGTCGCTGCTTTATCTCTTTATCTTCTCTTATCCCTCTCTCTCTTTGCCTTTCTGCTCTTGTTCTGTTTGTCAGTGTTGTCTGTCTGTCGGATCCGCCCTGAGTGGAATAATATGTAAGGTATGGGGAAAGGTGGTCCACGGAGACAGGTCCTGTAATGAATTACCTAATCATTCGCCATCATCATCATCTCTGCCTTACGGGGGGTACGGGGTACAGTACAGTCCATTGCCGTCAGCGCGCGCCGCCGTAATCCGTAATCGGGGGGTGCGAGTGACGTTGAGGATTACAAGAATAGAAGAAGAAAGAAGAATAGAATAGCAAGAGAAATACCTTAGCTGCAATAAATAGAAAATCCGAACAACAGGGAATCAAAAACATTAAAACATACAAACGTAAAACATCGCGAATGATAAAGAGAGGCGCCCGTCTGAATCGAGCTTGGCCCTCCGCTGCTCCTCCCCTCCCCATGCCGCCCTTGGCTTCCCCTCTTAACTCCTCAAGGGATGGGCGATAAATGAATGGATAGATCCCTTTTATCCTGCGCGCGAGGGCTCAGGGCAATGGCACGCACATTTTCCCTACCAGGCACGCGCGCTTCTCTCTCTCCCTCTCTCCCCGCGACCCAGCGCAATGGTGCCGTGACAATGATAAATGATGGTAATCATAATCGTAATCATAATCATAATACAAGTAATAATATAAAATCATCATCCATCTGCTTATCTGCTGAGGATCCGCGCGCCTCGACCGCAATCACCGCCCCCGAGAGCAAGCGTAAACCGAATTATACCCCGTAAAACCCATAAAAGCGTCCAGACTTTCCGGCCCGTGGTCGCCAACCAGGGATCCGCTCGCTGCCCTTGTCCGGCTGGCGGGCTGACTTACCTTTGACCTTGTCTGCCTACCAATAACACCACTTTCTCCTCCCTCCCTCCCGACTCTCCATCATTATTCTTCTTCAACACCACATTCATTCCTTTCCCTCCCCATGCGAGTCCCTGCACATCCCCCCCATTGACCTCCATTCGCAACACTGGCTTCCCACCTATCAAGAGCTTTGCTGCTTCTTTGATCCCGCCTCAGCCTCTCGACACTTCGTCTCCTGGCGCAAGCCTCTACGAACCCTCCCCCCTCTCCTGTACACTCCCCCGCCGCGTTCCAGCCAATCTGCCCCCAATCGTTGCAGCCTGTACGAGTCCCGCGCCCATTCCAACTGCGAACCACGGGTCTTTTTTTCTTTCGACGGCCCTGCATCGCTTTCCATCTCGAAATCAATTCACCATCGTCGTCCCCTCCCTGCCAATCCTGCGATCCGCCGTCGCCGTCACCGTCCACCCGGGAGCTTTCGCGTGTTCATGCATGTAGCTTGAGCTTCGCAAATTATCCAATCCCGACAACTTTCCCGCCGAACAATCACTCGGCCCTCATATTGTAGCTTGTGAGAGCTTCGAGGATTGAGGGCCGTCTCCCAAAACATATCTGGACCATGGCCTTCTCCAAGGTATTCTTTCCTGCCCTCCGTACGTGGGTTCTTGCATAGGTCGTAGCTGATCCGTCTACTCCTACAGGAAATCCAGCACCCTTCCAGACCTCTCAACCAACATCGCCTGTCCACATCGACCCATTCTGGGTCTCTTCCTCGCCAATCGCACGGACGAAACCATTCGCATTCTGTGTCGTCAGGATCACTCAACCCAAGTCACAGGGTGACTCGTCGGAAGAGTGTTTCTTCCAACGCCGTCAGCAATGTCGCCGCTATGGTAGCAGCAGTGAGAGAGGCAGGAGATACATCGGTTGGAATGCCAATTTCTACTCGTAGAAACACGTCATCGAAGAGTGCAAGGTTGGCCGTGGGAAGTCTACCCTCTCCTCCCGCGAGCTTGCCGAGCCACAGAATGAGAATGACTCCTGGCGGTAAATCAGAACGGAATGAGAGCGCAATTGAAGATCAGGATGACGATGAGATAGAGGAGGAAGATACTGGATTCAAGCAGGCGCGCATGAGACGGGCCAGCGAGGGCCAACACCTCATGAAGGATGGAAAGAAGTCTCATGGCAGTGACCTCAAGTGTGACAAGTGTGGAAAGGGATACAAGCACAGCAGCTGCTTATCCAAGCATTTGTTCGTGCCCGCCCTCCTCTCTTCCATGCTCCATCTGGGCTTCGCGCCGTGATGCTCTTGGAAGGATGATTGTTAACTTCTTGATTGCAGATGGGAACACACTCCGGAATGGTCATACACCTCGAAACTTCTGATTTCGAAGCACCAACAGGTGCAACTTTTGGAAGCCGCTTCGGTCCTCTTGACCATGAATCAAGATGCTACTACGCCTCCAGATTCTGCAAAGGACTTCCAAAGCGACCAAGATTCTGCGTCTCCTCCAGCCTCCGGCTCGGAGCAGCATGACGGTGCGAGCTCTGCCGATACCACCCCTCCACCGCAAACAGATATGTTCAACACGTACGGCAGCGGATCCTACATAGGTCGGCACAAGAGGTACAACAGCGGGCACAGCTTCTCCCGTTCGTACCAGTCCGCGCCCTCCGCACACTATTTGCACGGTGGAAGTGTTCCCAGCGGATCGGGTTTCGGTCATTATCGTCAACCGAGCCAGGAGCGTCGTCCTCCATCCTCGGGCATTAGTCGCAACCAAGAGGATGAGGGCTTGGCCGCTGCCGTCGAGCTTCTCTCCTGCAGCTTTGGAAGTACCGGTACGCCCAGAAGCATTCCTGTCACACTTCCAGAAGATGCTCCACCCGTGCCTCATATTCCCGCTCAATACTTGAGCCAGAGTGCCTTCTCAGGCAGTGCACTGGCACCGAGTCATCACCCTCGTCAGACCGAGAGCTACACGCGTCACCAGGTCCACCTGGATGGAGACGTCAAGATGGAAGAGAGCGAAGAAAGCATTGCGGACGATGAGGACTACGACCAACGCTTCCGCGGTCGCAGCGACGAAGATGACGATGGCGTCTTCGGCCGCATGGAGGAATAGATCCCAAGGCGGATCTATCACATCTTTCATTCTTAATGATGTATACATGCGAGCATGTCTCCGCAGCCGACTGTCAGCACCGAAGAGTGGACTCGGCAGTATGTCCACGAGGTTAAAGTGATGGTCGTTCTCGAGCGTCGAGCCAACGCCACGAATATTGAAGAGGTTATCTTTGGAAAGAAGGGGCATGTCATATACTACGACATCCACGATGTATGAAACGCGTTGATGAACAAATGTCCTGCTTACCAATGAAATGAAAACAACTTTATACCTGAAAGTGCTGTATATCCCCCTGTGTTTACACTCTCGTAGCATGTCCGCTTTCCTTGTCAACGAACTTACGTCGGACTGGGTCGGGAAAGAGTTGGAGAGTAAAGAACGTAAGAGCGTGTATTGTTGACATTCTGCAGTGTGTTGCACTGGGAGGGAAAGCTCCTGTAGGTAGATAAATGTAGATAAATCGAAGAGCTCTTGGTTCTTCGTTATCTCCCACTTGTGGGGTTGACGTCACCCGCCATCAGGATAAACAAATCTCCAAACGCGCCGCCGCTCGTCAACGACCTGCAATTTCAAAGCTCTAAAGGATCATCTATCTCTGTCCCTCACGCTCCTGGGAAGCACACCAAATCATCACGATGCCACCGCGCAAGGGAAAGCCTGCCGATAAGGCAGTTAAAGTCGTACAGCAAGGCGACGCAGTGGTGCCCGCTTCCAAGCTCCCGCCTTGGCTCAGGTTCCCGCTGCTTGTATTATCGAGCTTAACGCTTTCGTCGCTCCTATACTCCATCGCAGCTAAGTACACGGCAGGAGACTTGGCCAGCGTATCGAGGAGATTGGATCAGTGGTGGGAAGTGGGCGCGTTGTTGGGATGGCGGACGTGAGTCGCGTTGCCCAAACGTACTTGGGATTTTTTTGCTAATCAACGGAAGATTCGAGCTTGGCTTGGGCTGGTTTGGCAACTATGATGGCTACGATCTCGCAGCGCTGAGCCTGCTATCGCATGGCCCTCCGGTGAGGAAAATTGTACGCTCGATGCAAGACCTTCTGCTGATGAGTGCAGCTCTATCTACTGGGCACCTTCTACAATGTCCGACCCGCAACGGTGATCTCCTCGCTGTTGATCGATACTCTGACAACTTACGTCCCATTCCGCCTCCTCCGTCCTCTTTCCCTAGCTCACTCGGCGTCTTCCTCCCAGCGTTCAGTTGCTATCGCGAATAAGGATATTGTGACAGACTACACAATCCAGAGTTTCACCACCATTCTCGCAGCGACGATCTATAGCGTTACCCTCTATACCGCATACGTAACGTACCTTCCAGTATATCTTGTCACATACTTCGAGGGCATCCCCTCTGTTGCCGCTACTCATAGCGCAACGCCCATTGCACTCTTGCCACTGACCCTCCTCTTCGGGCTCGCCGCAAAGTCCTTCATCTTTACGCCTGCAGTGGCAGCTTCACCCTCCCTCGCAGATGCAAAGGCGGCGGCTTTCAACCCTGCCACCGCCACATTGTCGGAGACATTTTGGTACAATGTTTGGGGATTTAGCCCGAAGACCAAGGTCGTGATCAAGCGGACGCTGGCCCTGGTACTGGTAAGCGGGATTAATACCTTCGTGCAAACCTTTGTCACGGTTGAAGGCGTCGAGGCGATCGGTGCGGTGGCGTATTCTGCGATATGGTCTACGGCTGCTGCGATCACGGGTGCGGCGCTGGGGGTGGTAGGCTCTGTATGAACAGGTGCGTAGGTCAATGGTGAAGCTCGAAGACTCGATCTGGTGCAGACTCTATGTATGATTCTGGTGTGGCTACTTCTTTTTTTCTGAGAATTACAGCGCGGCATGGGACTAGGAGGGGTGGACGGATCTGGAGGCTTGCTTGGCTTTCTGGTTCTGGAACGGAGTTTATCAAAATTTGGAGCTCGAAGGAGTTGTGTTATGTAGCAATAGCGGGATGTGTGGGGTGAAGCATGGGACTTTGCTTAACAGTGTAGGTGTAGTTTGGCATTCTCTGCTTCTCATGCGAGTGGAAGCTCTTGCCTTCGAAAATATCACATAGGGCTCAATTTGTTGATATTCTATATTCACAGTAGAAGTAGCACGTACCTAGTACAAGGTCTTTGCACATAGTCAGATGTTCAAGTAATTCAAGGTGGGCAGGAGATCGTTGCCCGACATGGTTACTCCAGTTGCTCTATTTACCCCGATACCTACAGTACCCCCGTAGGCATTGTGTTGGGTACTCGAGTCTGATTGGTACTTGGGACGCCTCCTCGATGCTTGGGTAGGGAGTTGATGCTTGATTACCTTACGGAGGATTGATTATCTTGATTCATCTCTAGCACCGGGTGATATTCATCTGCCTATTTAGGAATCTGATTGTTTATTATTATATTATTATTATTTCTTCACTTTATTACCTGCCAGCGCTTGCCATCCTGAGAGATCTTGTGACCGCCAGCAGGCGCGCGGCGTCTACTTTGCCTCGCTGTGAACAAGATACAAGAAATACTCTACAGCCGCAACTCTCTCTGCCCACCTGATCTTAAGAATCGCCTTGAAGACATCCTCAAGCAATGTAAAGCGATTCTTCGAGTATATCATTCGCAAAACGTCCGTCTCCCTGTTTGTTACCTTACAGTAAATACTGTGCGCTCCTTGCCTCCTCCCCTCCCCCTCTATCGGTCTCAGGGATGGCCAGCGACGCGTCGAGACAGTAAGCCCACTCCCCTCTCTTTGTTGTCTTCGCCGCGAGTCCCTTGTTATTCCAGCACAGGCATGATTTACCAAGCCTACTTCCCATACTTCAGATGCCGGGTCTGCTTCAAGCACTGCGCGTTGTTGGACGTGCTATCAAGATTCCACAGAGCGGCGGTCGCCCGCTAAGGGTAACAAGGGTGGCCTTACAACCCAACCCGCTGCTGGAGCTACCTTAGGGCGCGCGTACCTTACCTCCACGACCTTCATCGCGCGCGCCCGAAAATATGAGCCAAAGCGACTGACTACCTCTCCTTTACAGATGGCTTGACGGGAGCGGCATCCTGAGCTGTCGCATCAAGGTCCCCCAGCCGCACACGCACATTGATCATCCACGGACATCAGAGGCCAACCACGGCCAGCTCCCGACGCAACTGGCCACCGCAGACACCATGGACCTGCCCCTCGAGACGACCAGCCCCAGGCGCAAGGACAAGATCGCAGAAGCCATCCAGTCCATGGCCAATCTGAATAACAATATGGAACCGCTCGAGCTTCCCACAGATCCTGATGCCCAAGCGACGGTCACCGATTTCCTCGACTTCACCGAATACCTCCCATCAGACATGATCCGCTCCATCACCCTTATCGGCAATCTCGATCGAAAGTATCGCAAAGCTTCTAGAGCTACCAACGAACAGGCTGAGATATACGGAAGGCTCCCAGATATACCCGTCGATGAGAAGCCAAACCCTGTTAGCCTCAGATCTGAACTGTCCGAGAGCGTCAGTGATGCTGTCAGCGCCCGCACATTGTCCTATGCAGAGGCATGTCGCATGGCCGACAATGTCGACCGCCACTACAACCGGGCAAAGAATATATTGGCAAAGCTCAAAGCTATGCTTGAAGCATACCCGCCGTCTCGAGAACCCAGCCCAGCGCCCGAGAAACCTAAATCCCCCGTCATAGCTCGAACACCAAAGATCACTTTACGTCTAGATGGATCTCGGACGGACCAAACCGGAGGGCCACGAGTACGAAGACATCGCGCACCGAGAATTACAGTCCCTGGAGAGGTCCTGGCGCCTTATGAGTTTGACTACGAATCTTACGGCTCCGAATCCGACGACTGGGACTCAGCAGAGGATGAGCCTCCGGAGCCCAGGCAGACACCAGCACGATCCCTCACAAACAATTCTGGCAGAATCAAGTTGAAGGTTCAGAAGCCGCCCAAGAATAATAAAACCCCAAAGCAACCTCGTCCCCCGCGGCCTCCCGGAGTCATGGGCACCAACGTCCACAGTTCCGTAGCTGGTATTTCGACGAGCAATGCTTTGGCCAAGTTGAACCCTCCGCCAGAGAATGCTGAAAAGGGAAGCGAACACGCCCCATGGCTTCAGCTGACCGAATGGGAGCTCGGGATGCTCAGAAAGCGAATGAAGAAGAACGCTGTCTGGAGCCCGAGTGATACTATGATCGCACGGGAGTTGAAGCAGCTTGGTCGTGGTATTGAAGCATATCGCGCAGCTAAGAGCCAGGCGGATGCTACAGGTCAGCCTTTCGATCAGCCCGTGCCACCTCAACTTTTGGGCCAGGCCGTGCTGGCAGAAGGCGCTATCAGTGTGGAGGCAGTACAAAACGACCAGGATCTTCAGCTTAGCAATCGTGGCATGAAGCTGAATGAAGCTAAGAAATTGAAGAAGGAGAATCAAGCCAAGGAGGCGGCCAAACAAGCGGCAGAAGAGGCAGAAGAATCAGCCCGAAAGGTGGCAGAAGCTGCTAAAGTTATGAAGGGTCTGTTCAGCAAACCAGCGTCGAAGGATGAAAAGAAGACGGATAAGAAAACTCCGACGGCCGTCAGCAAGACACCGGCCAGAAAGCGCAAGAGAGAGTCGAACGCTGGTACCGAATCTCCTGAGAAAGTGGCGGAGGGAGAACCCGCAACCGCAAAACAGGACAAGCCAGAGAGACCGCCGCCACTGAAGAGGACTAAAACCGAGACTCCAGTTCCTGCCCCTCAGCCAATTGCGTCCAAGGAGAAGCAGCCCCCGGCTTTGACTCTTGATACCCAGACTCTTGAACCTGCTACAGCCGCTTCTTCAGAAGCTGCGCCAGTTCCTGCGGCTGAGGTCCCTGCGGAGAATGTAACAGCTCCTTCTCCAAAGAAGTCATCAACGCCAATCCTACCGCCCGTCAAAGAACCTAAAAAGGAAACCAAGGTAGAGGTAAAGAAACCGGAAAAAGTTGCAAATACCCGTGCTCGAAGATCGTCAATAGCAGCAATAACAGCACAGGCGCCAGCACCTGCGCCCGAGCCATTGCCACCCAAACGGCCAACATCCTCTCGAAGCAAAGCAGCCAGCCTTGAGCCTGCGTTCCCGGTAGCAACTGCTACCATAGACCGGCCTCGCCGCGCCAGCACAGCGCGCAACACACCTGCGCCAGAACCGCGTCAGCCAAGCAAGCGCACTAAACGCCCAGCTCCCGGTATTGTTACCGCAGGGCATGAGGGTTCAGCGGCTGTCAGTGTAGGAAAGAGAAGTGCAGCGACACGCAAGAAAGCGTCAACCAAGAAAGACAAGAAAGACGGACGTGAAGGAAGTGCCGCTCAAGAGGTCCTTGACGAGGTTGATGACGAGGGCAATGTCATTGATCCCGATGAGCCAAGATACTGCTTGTGCAATCGCGTGAGTTTCGGAACGATGATCGCGTGCGAAAATGGAGATGTAAGTCCTAACCTGCCCTGCCCTGCCCTATCTGCCTTGTTATTTATTCACTTTGCGCTTACACTGAACACGCAGTGCGAAAAGGAATGGTTCCATCTAGAATGTGTCAACCTTACAGATGTCCCCCCAAGAACCACGAAATGGTACTGTCCTGAATGCAGGATCAAGCTAGGAATTGGCGAGAAGGGAGAAGTCACGGCTAGAGGTAGGAAGAAGTAATTATCTTGTCTGCAGGTTTTTCCTGTGGCAGCTTGGAGTTCTTGGAAGGTCAGAGAAAAGGCGTTGTTGCGATGGAGGGTTTGGGATGCATATTTATGACATGAAATTACATTACATTACAGCTCGGAAAATATCAGAGGCTACATATTGTGTGGGGGATGGGATCAATCAAAACTGCGATGCCATTCATTCTGTAGTATTGTAAATAATAAAAATAGTGAATCCAAGCGGTCCAGAAATCTCATATCCATCAACTGACGTATATCCTCCACGCAAAACTCCAAAAACTCCTCGTCCCTCCAACCAACCCAACCAACCCAACCAACACTCATAAAGTAAAATAAATAACTCACCGCAGAAAAGTCATCATCATCATCTACAGATCCATTCTTCTTCTTCTCTCTCTCTCTCCCCCTGCCCGCCTAATGATCAATCAGTCATAAGGGAGGGGGTGGAATGGGTAGGTAATCAATCTATGAACGTACCTAGCTGCCCGCTACATCCATCCCCATTCGTATGTACATAGGTAACACAGGTAGTACACATAGCAAGAAAAGGGGGAAGAGAAGAGACGAAATCATAACAGCCCCCAAAAAAGGAGGAACATATATAACACCAACTTGCGGATAGCTGCCTTAACTACTAATCTATGGATCGGAAGTTTTGGGCGGGGGGGATGGGAGGGAGGGAGGGAGGGATGGTCTCGGTCTATAGTCTAT